ACTTTTTTGAGAAATGTCCTTCGGCTTGCAAGCCGAAGAACACCATCCCAACCGTGAAGCACAGGGGTGGCAGCATCATGTTGTGGGTTGCTTTGCTGCAGGAGGGACTGGTGCACTTCACAAAATAGATGGCATCATGAGGAAGGAAAATTATGTGGATATATTGAAGCAACATCTCAAGACATCAGTCAGGAAGTTAAAGCTTGGTCGCAAATGGGTCTTACAAATGGTCAATGACCCCAAGCATACTTTCAAAGTTGTGGCAAAATGGCTTAAGGACAACAAAGTCAAGGTATTGGAGTGGCCATCACAAAGCCCTGACCTCAATCCTATAGAAAATGTGTGGGTAGAACTGAAAAAGCGTGTGCGAGCAAGGAGGCCTACAAACCTGACACAGTTACACCAGCTCTGTCAGGAGGAATGGGCCAGAATTCACCCAACTTATTGTGGGAAGCTTCTGGAAGGCTACCCAAGTTTGACCCAAGTTAAACAATTTAAAGGCAATGCTACCAAATACTAATTGAGTGTATGTAAACTTCTGACCCACTGGGAATGTGATGAAAGAAATCAAAGCTGAAAGAAATCATTCTCTCTACTATTATTCTGACATTTCACGTTCTTAAAATAAAGTGGTGATCCTAACTGACCTCAGACAGGTACTTTTTACTGGATTAAAGGTCAGGAATTGTGAAAAACTGAGTTTAAATCTATTTGGCTAAGGTGTATGTAAACTTCCGAGTGGTTGAAAAACGAGTTTTAATGACTCCAACCTAAGTGTATGTAAACTTCCGACTTCAACTGTATGTCTCATTCTCTCCAATGAGCTAACTGCTCCATAGGTCCCCTTCCTAGACTTGGACTGGATGATGATGACATGATTGCAGTTGTATTCTTGCATCAAGCCATAGTAAAACATTTGGCACAATTGTCAGTAAGGGAAAGCCTGGTTTTGAATTATGACTCAATCGCTTTTAGTCGGTTTCAAGTAAGACCCCAAGGTTGGTTGATGTGTTCATAATGAAAGTGTTGCACTTGTTCATATGAAACTAGGTTTCTGGTTGAGCACACGTGTCAACAGTCAGCGGCCACAGATGATGGTGATCACATTATTTTCCTGCCCTAAAAAAAAAGAGAGTAGAGATGGTTCTTGGTAAGGTACTGCTTCTCCTCCCTCCTGTCAACTCCATGTAGAAGGTGTTAGTGAGTCCCTCCATGTGACAGCCATAGAGAATGACAGAGGACTTTTCTTTGCATCTGTCCCATTATGGCGTCTGTGAGCGCACAGGTAGCGCCATTGAGATCATCTCTATTTTGAAGTAGTCAGTTTTTCTTCTACTTCTATGAGTTGGTAAACAAACTGAAAGTGTGCATACTGCCACCTGGAGTGTGTTGTTTGAACAGGTATAAAGCCAAGGTTGGTGATTTACTGACACCTGCCGTTATGGAATGTTTGCTCACTAGTATAATTCCTTGGCTGATCCCTCCTGGATGGAATTATGTGATCCTTCCTTAACTTCAAAATGTTGAAAGTCCTCAATGGTGCTGCCCATGCTAAAAGGGGCTTTTCAGGCACTAGAGTCCTCTATCGTTCTCTCTGGTGACAGCCAACAACCTGTCAGAACAGCTCCGACCACTGACTTACTGTAAGTCACGGCTTTAGAAAGGGATGAGCCTCTGTACGTCTGTGTGCCTCTAAATCCTTGTAGCTGTAAAATAGTGCTTGATGGTTTCAGTAACCAGCAGGTAGAAATGCCCATTAGTCACCGTCTCTAATTTACACTGGAAGCGTAATCAAACCAATTCATTCTTATCAGTCAAGCTGTGGGCAGGATGGAAAATGGCAGTTTGTTTTTTCCACGTCTTCTGTGTGTTAGATGTGAGTGCTGTAACCAGTGGGACTGCAGGTGTAGGGGTGTGTATTTGTATTGTATATTGATTTCTCTTTTATGTGAGGAAGTTGAATACAGAGGGAAGAGTATGCTTCAGGAAAGAAGTAGCAACAGTTCCTGTGCTGTGCTGCGCACTTCCCTCATGATGGAAAAGGTTGTGTCATCGTCATCCAGTGAATGTGTTCAGCTAGGAACCCATTCTCTTAACCTTACTGTACATGAAATCTATTCCTAAGCATTTAAAATAGTCCACAAAGCACAATACTTTCTCTGGCTTTTAAAATGCTTACTAAGATGGTTATTTCTGATGATTCAGGATATGTAAAACCTTGTCATTTATTCACATAAATGTTAATACTAACTGTGTTGTAACTGTTGTCTCAGCTTCTCTCCCTGTATTAAACTGCTATTCATGAGGTGTTGCTTCTCAGTTGACTGGAGATAATGACTTTCCTCTGTGGGACCACAGACCCCAGTGATTGTGACTGTTAGAAACCTCCCCAGATAGAACACCACCAAGCAAACAACACAAGGTGGTGTAGATATGTAGGTGTGGGTGATAGGGATGAGAGGATGGATATTCCTGAGAGGTCACTGAACTCAACATGATTGGAGCTCAAGGTGCCCATATGTGAGATCTCAGGGAGCTTTAAAGGAACATGTTGAGCAAGGTATAGGCCTAGAGACAACTCTTAAGGAGTTATAGCACACAGTATTCCTATTTACAGTATATAATTACCACAGGAATGTTTCATTTCCTAAAACGAGATAGAAGGTTAGCTTAATATGAATGAATTGAATTGAATGTTAACTATGTAATAGTTGGTCAAGCTTCCCCCACCTGAGTGGTTACCATGACCAAACCCTTCCCTTTTGGAATTTGGAACCAGTAACTACCTCTCCCGAATTGGACGTACTTTCCAGCGTTCTTCTCCCACATTCTCCCAATATTATGTCTTGATGGAGAGAACTAGGCTCTGGGAACCATTCAAAACAAAATAAAGAGTGAAAAGATTATACAAATATTTCTGACCTGAGACTGAACTCATGTCAGGACTAAGCTTATCTAAAATAAATATTGGTTTCATGTGGGAGACTTTTATAATACAGAGACAGACAGTCACAAGATTTTCTCCAATAGCACACCATGGTATTTGCTATGGATATTCCCTATATTCTGTCAAAGCTGGGTTGTTTTTTCTCCTGTTTAGTGCCTACTGAATGCCACCCAGGCTATTGCGCGGGGCGGAGGGGTGACTGGAAAGCTGTCTGTTTGGGCTGACTGTTTTGATAGCTGACCACTGCAGGTGACTGTTGTTCTTACGGTATCTTCCATGCATTACTCCCTTTCTGCAGTGGAGAGGTTGAGTGTGCGCGCGCACACACACACACACACACACACACACACACACACACAGGACATGCAGTAGGAGTGAAGCATGGTTTCCTCCCCAGGCCCTGGTTTGTGTGTGTGCAGCAGATTCCACAGATTCCGTGCCCTCCCGAAGATTCTTCCCCACTCCCGACACAAACTGTCTTCTGTTATCCCTGCCACCCTGCCATGGTCCCTTTCTGTTGGTTGGCAGGGACGCTCGACGTTGGCCAGTTGACCTCATCCTTCCTGGCTGTGTTCTGCTGTGAATGCCTGTTATTAAAGCTGCAATATGTAACTTTTGGGGAGTTATAGATCTGAGTTATAGATCTGTCATTCTCATTGAATGCAAGTCTAAGAAGTAGTAGATATGTTCTATGTGCACTATTTCTATGCTTCCCGTTCTTAAGTTAAATTTTTGCGTCTTTTACTTTCGGTTTTGTACACCAGCTTCAAATAGTGGTTATGGAAAATATATTTCAAAGCGATTTCGATGGTACAATGATTTTCTACGCTATACTTGCTTGTTTTGTTACATTAACTGAAATTAGGCGAGCTATTAGAATTTTAGCAACCAGGAAATGGCAGAGCAATTTCTGCATAGTGCACGTTTAAGAGTAATAGCACTCCAATTGGACTAAAACGGATCTGTCCTTGTCAGACACTGCTTAGTGCTCGTCTCTAAAATGTGTGGTAAGACTTGTGCAGTGGACAGTCGATGGGATCTACATACCAGAAGGACATCCTTAAGTCATGCTGTATTTTTCTTAGCTTACATGACCCTCCATGACCCCGTGTTTCTAGCCTTCAGTTTGTAGGATGCAGGTGCACCCTCGGTCGTTAGATTGCTCTTCTTCATTTTGAAGGGAAAATCCTTTGTGGTGTACAGTTTGCGTTTAATTATGTAGCAACATAGCGATTACACACCAAAAACAGGAAGCAGAGAAACCACTGTAACCAGCTTTTTCAGTTTAACCAGGACTTTGGCCTTCGGGTAGGGAGGGACCACACCAAGAGTTACTCAGGGAGAATTTAGTTCCAATTAATGTCCTTTTTCTGCATACTTTCCAATTTTTTCTTCATTCCTCTACTTTCCCTCTAAATATGCTCTTTTGATCTTTATTGATATGTTGTGACAGTTGGTTTTGATTTACTCACAGTTTGGAATGTATGTTTTATATGGAGGTCTGGAATGAAGAACATGGAGGAGAATCAGACCAGATTAACATGTACACTACCAGTCCAAAGTTTGGACACACCTACTCATTCAAGGGTTTTTCTTTATTTTGTACTATTTTTTACATTGTAGAATAATAGTGGAGACATCAAAACTATGAAATAAGTAAGGGAATCATGTAGTAACCAAAAAAGTGTTAAATAAATCAAAATATGTTTTATATTTGAGATTCTTCAAATAGCCACCCTTTGCCTTGATGACAGATTTGCACACTCTTGGCATTCTCTCAACCAGCTTCACCTGGAATGCTTTTCCAACAGTCTTGAAGGAGTTCCCACATATGCTGAGCACTTGTTGGCTGCTTTTCCTTCACTCTGCCGTCCGACTCATCCCAAACCATTTCAGGGGGCAGTTGAGCCTCATTGAAGCTCTGCCCAGCCCCAGCATTATTGATGTTGTCTCAGAGAGGACCAGTATTTGTCTTTGACAGCAAGAATGGTCTACTGAACGGTCTAGTCTCTTTATGATAGACTAGTTAGCTCTCAGGCTGTTGCGTCTTGAGATGGCTGAGGGACCGTATGGGTTGTGGGTGAGGGGCTTTGCCTGGGCCATTCCTGAAAGCGGGAAGCAGGTGGAGTCTTCAGGAAACCTGTCTTTTCCTGGACCTCTACTCCACAGAGGGAGAGGCTGCTGCTCGTTGGAGGGGGGAAGGCTTTGTGTGCGATTCCTTAAACAAAAGGCTTCTTCCGTTCTGAGTCTCAGTGACTACAGCTCTCCACCCAGCAGCCTGCCCCTTTTTTTTACGCACTGATTGGACTGACTAATACAGCTCTCTACTCCTCCTTAAGTCTGCAACCAACTTACATAAGACAAAGGCCATTGGGCATTCATTACTGCTCAGCTTTGATGTGTGTGTGTGTGTGTGTGTGTGTGTGTGTGTGTGTGATTGGCTGATGGTTTCTATAATCTCAATTATAGGCCTCAATCAAAGTCTTGTCAAAAGTGTATTTGGAAAAACTGATTACGTCAATAATCGTATTGGCCAATAGGGGCAGTATGGGGTTGTTGGGTCAGAGAGACATTGATTATGATTATGTGTCATTTGTTGGCTCCTGTTTTATATATGTGCTGTATTTAGCTCTGCACCTACATTTTAACATTCCCTGAGGACTTTGTAAAACTCTGTAAAAGGTCCCGTTACTAAAAAAAGAAACTGCTTGTGTTCTCTTACCTGACGGATGGGAGTAGCTGGACTTGGTAGAGTTTTTTCCTGGATGACACAGTGCAATGTCATCCTGTGATCTCAGAGAGGCAGGAGGACAGGGGTCACCTCCCAGCCTGCTATTGTCCTGCCCTGGGCTCACTGAGCTGACTGGGCTCACACAACACAAGGGACTGGCCCTCAGGAACTGGCCCTTCCTTAGGCCGGGGTAATGGCTCCATGCCTCCTGGCTCTAGCCCATCCCAGTCCTCCCTACACTAACACAGCTCCAGTCACATGCTCTGTACACCCTCCTATTCTGTCAGACTCCTTTCCTTCCTCTGGTGTAATTTTAGTCTTATTTGATCATCAATGTCAGAGTCATGGTCTTAAATGTAGCCTATTACTGCATTTCATACCATATCAGCATACCGGACATAGGGAAAGGGAAAGGGATATCTAGTCAGTTGCACAACGGAATCCATTCAACCGAAATGTGTCTTTTGCATTTAACCCAACCCCTCTTAATTGACGTCCTCGTCATAGGAGTCCGGGGAGCAGTTGTAGTTGGGGGGTTAACTGCCTTGCTCACTGGCTCGGGGATTCGAACCAGCGGCTTTTTGGTTACTGGTCCAATACCGCTTGGCTACCTGCCGCCCCATATTGGGATGTATTAGGTATTAATGGTTAAAGAAAATCGTATTTTTGTGCATGTGAATCATTTCATGTACGTTTTGTTAATGTGATTCATTGTCTTAGCACAGGAAAACAGGAGAGTGGAAGGAGAAAGTAGATTCTCCTAAAGGCTGATATTCAACTAACTGTACTTCATCTCTTCCTCAGGACTTGCAGAGTGAGCTGAGGCCACGTCTGTGTGTGATCAAGAAGGGGCCTAATGGCTACGGCTTCAACCTGCACAGTGAGAAGGCCAGACCAGGCCAGTACATCAGAGCAGTGGACGAGGACTCACCTGCACAGAGGTCAGGCCTGCTGGCTAAGGACAGGATAGTACAGGTAACTATCTAGCTCACCTTTGACCTCTGGCATCATACTGTATTATTATTATTATTATTATTATTATTATTATTCCATGTATAGTAATAGTATATTACTATTGTTAGTAGTATTCCATGTATAGTAATAGTATATTACTATTGTTAGTAGTATTCCATATATAGTAATAGTATATTACTATTGTTAGTAGTATTCCATGTATAGTAATAGTATATTACTATTGTTAGTAGTATTCCATGTATAGTAATAGTATATTACTATTGTTAGTAGTATTCCATGCACAGTAATATTATATTACTATTGTTAGTAGTATTCAATGCACAGTAATATTATTACTGTATAGTAGTAAATTGATTCATATTGTATTGATTAAAATACTTCTGTATGTCATGCAAGCTTTTCTAAAACTACAGGACTTGTCTCTAATAGCCTTGGCACAATTCAGTCATGTTCAAGTTGAAGTGTATAGTGAGGAGGAATGTGAAGGGCAGTAAAAGTCTCTGTGTGGGGTCCTAATCTCATAGGAGGGTAGAGGTGGACCCAACTGTCACTGGGAGTTAGCTCAGACAGGGATAATCCAGCTTTGTCACTGGTGACTTGTCTGCACTCCACCACCCCAGTCTATTCTGCTCAGTGCTCAGTACTGTAGAGCTGTGTGTGTGTGTGTGTGTGTGTGTGTGTGTGTGTGTGTATTGTCACAGGTGTGTATGGCTGCCCTCACTACTCTAGCCACTGTTGTGTAAATGAGTTGCTGCTATAGCCCAGCAGCCATGTCAGGCTGCCATAGAAAAGGAGAGAGGAAAGAGACGAGAGTTGAGTCCTTTAGACAGAGAGGTTTCCAGCCCCCAGCGAGCCACACACCCACCACCCACCGAGGACTGTATTCTTTGTGTTAAATGGACAGCTATTGTTACTGCCCAAGCATGTATCGTTTGGTCTCCTCCCTGGGACTGTAGTAGACATGCAGGTTCACACTATGACCCACACAGATACACACATACACACACACATACACGCACATGCACACACACAAAGATACACACACATGCACGCATGCATACACACAAACATGCATGCACACACACACACACACACAAAATACACACTCAGAGGTCACAAAACCCACACATACAAAGTACACACACTATCTCAGCAGTAGTTCCTCAGAATGTTCAGCTGTCTGGGGAACAGAAGACATTTTGACAGATGCTGGGCCAATGGCCTTATGGCTGAGATGGTGTTGTTAGCACTCTCTAGCTACTAGCAGTTGTTGCTATCCAAGAACACTGTTCTCTTCAGCAATGTTTCATTTTGTATTCAGGCTACGTACTACAGATTGTTATGCAACAGTGAAGGGTTTAACACTCATTTCCCAAGCGCCTAGGAGAGCTTCAGTTCCTTTCTGTGTGTGTGCAGTAGCATATTTTGTGTTTGTGTGAGGAGACAGGATTTCCTTTCTTGGAACTGCTGGACAACAGACTGATAATATTGAAAACTGAGTCCTTGGTTTGATAAACAGGTTATCGTCCTCTTTGTGAGAACAATGGAAATATGCAAGAAATAGTTTCCCATAAATAGTTAGTTACTTGAACAAACTATCATGCTGATGTGAAAGGGAAACCTGTAGTTTTAGGCTGTTGGACAACCTTCACCGTTTTGACTTGGTAAACCATAGTTACACTACTTATACAACTAAGGAGTTAATGCTTCATGAGCTGATTTGTGCAGACATGATTCTTGTGTCTGTGTGTGTTTTGAAGTTCCTTACACTCTTTCGCTCTCTCTGTCTCTCTCTCTGCCCACCCCCCCTCTCTCTCCAGGTGAATGGTATGGCAGTGGAGGGGAAGCAGCACTCGGAGGTGGTGGCAGCCATCAAGGCTGGTGGTGAGGAGACCTCTCTACTGGTTGTGGACACAGACACAGATGCCTTCTTCAGGAGGTGCAGAGTCGCTCCCACCCCAGAACACATCACAGGTGAGACCAGAAACATCTACAAGAAAGGGCCAGAACTCTATTGATGCAGTTTGGCTGAGTTAGTGATCCTTTCTGTAGACATACATGTCCAAGCATTCATACACACTGGACGTTATCGGCCTGCACGTTCCTCACTGTGTGTGTGTGAGGACAGACCTCTGAAGCCCCTCACTCACACTATCACTGACGGACATGGGAATCATTATCAGAACTGAGACAGCCTCACAGTGTAGGGAGCGTTTTGCCTCTGCAATCACCTCGTAATGATTCAACCACTTAGTTCTCCTTTAACAGCCTCCTTCAAGGTCTATAGTCCCCAGAGGTTTCTCTCTCAGGCCAGATCCCTAACCCCCCGTCCCCCTGTCCTTGGTAAACACTAGCAGATTAAGGGTATGTCTGACTGCTTGGCCAGGCTCCTCTGCTCCTCTCTCTCTCTGCCAAGGAACACAGACATAGAGACACACAGACACTGAGCTCATCTCATTTCCTGTTCCCTCACGTTGTTTGCTCGAGGTACAAAATCCAAACTCTTAGGTACATATCTAGAATCAGCTTAACCTCCCTGAATGCTAACCACTATTAGCGGCTAAATGCAAACTTCCCCAGCTGTCTAGGGGCAACTTCCCCTAACTACCACTGAGCTCTTCACAAAGGGAAGGCTGTTGTACCTCTGAAAACCCCTAGAGGGAGCCTCAGCCTGTGAATTGACTCCAGTGCTGGAGAGTCTGGATATAGGTTGGCATTTATTGTCATGAATTTTGCCCTGGAGGCAGCTCCAGGGTAGTCACTAGCTGGCACAGCCACAAAGTCTTAAAATCAGATTTTAAACCTAACAGATTTTAAACCTAACCTTAACCATAACCTTAACCACACTGCTAACCCTAACCTTAAAATAAGACCAAAAAGCACATTTTTGCTTTCATACATTTTTACAATATAGCCAATAATGACTTTGTAGCTGGCCCATCTAGCGGGAATCGCTCGGTTCTGCCTCCAGGGCAAGATTCATGACAATAAACGTCAAGCTGCATTTGGCTTGGGAGGCCAGCTGTGCCCAAGTAACACTTGTTGAAACAGGGCGATGGCGCATGGTAACACTTGGCTGGCTACTCTGAGTGCCACTCTGATGTCATAGAACAGTGATGCCAGCCCAGCCGACGCTATGACAACCATATGGGTGTGGAGGAAAGCGGTTCCCTCTGTGTCTGGGACATGCATATTAGTCAGTGTGTGTGTGCTACAAACCCCCCCCCCCACACACACACACACACACACCGCCCTGCCCCAGACTGCCTTTATATTTCCTCTGCTTGAAGCTCTGCCATGAATAACAGTGAAGCGCTGCTGCCTGATTAGGCCAAAGATACTGTTTATTAAAAAGGGTACCTGTCTGTGCCCCTGTCTGTGCCCCTGTCTGTGCCTCTGAGTGAACCCTATTAATAAGAAGGTGGGTAGAAGTAGACAATATAAGTCAGTTAGTGTCCTTCATGCTATTTGATCTAACTGGGAGTTTTATGCTTCTTTAGTGCACCAATAAAAATACAGTAGTTGCTTTGTTGTGATAAGAATTTGCTCACTTTTACATGGAGGAATGTTCTTGTAGTCGGAGTCCACACTGGTTGGATAGACAGCTGTCCATTGCCATGGTTACACCTCAAAGTTTACTGATGATTGACGTGCTATGTCCACTCCTCTGAATAAGTATAGTGAAGGTCTTAGCCCTATCTAACTTCCTTTGGTTTCTGCTATCGGCTTCTAAACCTGACTGAAAAATGCCCAACAGGAGCAAAATTCCATTGAGGCGTTGCCCAGGTAACTGCTCTCTCCTGTTGCCCACTCAGAGGTACCTGCTCACGTGACTTTGGTACACACTCAAGCACGTACACGCGCACGCACGCGTGCGCACACACACACACGCACACACATACACGTGTGCGCGAACACGCGGGCAAACACACACAAACACACACACGGATGGACACACACTCCACACTCCCCTCTCGCCACCCCTCTGGCCAGCACTTGTGTTTGGTTTCCAAGGCACTGGCTCCAAGTGGCCTCTCAGCCTATAGTGTTAGCTGTATTGGAACTGAAGAGCCTCTTGTCCGTGTGCAAACAGTGAGAAGGGACCCAAGAAGCACAGAGGTACTTAGACACAGCTCTGACAGGTCTCACAACTGTGAGGAGGGACCCAAGGAGCACTGAGGTACTTAGATAGAGACAGGTCTCAGAACAGTGAGGAGGGACCCAAGGAGCACAGAGGTACTTAGATAGAGACAGCTCCGACAGGTCTCAGAACAGTGAGGAGGGACCCAAGGAGCACAGAGGTACTTAGACACAGGTCTGATAGGTCTCAGAACAGCTCAGGGGGACGCAGACCAGGGTCAGGCTATCTTTAGATGATAACAGGTTACTATCTCACTGATTGTCTGTCTGTCTGTCTGTCTGTCTGTCTGTCTGTCTGTGTGAGAGGAACTGAAGCATGGAAGGTAAGGGTCCGTCTTAGTATTACACCAGCTCCGACCAGGGGTCAGTTGTTCATCAGTCAACTGTATCTGTTTGTTTTAGATAGACACACGGGTTTAGATATAGTGTATTGTCTCTTTCTATGGTTGACTTAGCCAAGTGAAGATCATTCCATAATATCCCTTGTGACAGGGTTAGGGGAGAGTTTGTTACCAGGGCTATTTGATACAGGAAGGCTACTGGGGTAGTGGGTTTCATATGCAGCAGCTTGTTTGGACGTGATAATGCGTGGCAGGTAACCAGGGTCAGAGAACATCTCTGTGAAGATCAACCCTGTTTGAATAATGGATGACCTGCACATACCTGTGCTATGTAACAGAGTAGGTGTCGCTGGGATGAAACCCAAACTGGATAGGAGCCGTTCTCTGGAGCAGGGGTATGAGTCACTCTGACATTCTGTTCTGGTGTACGACGGAGGTGGGACAGTCACAGGATATTTAGGACTGACTGTAAGATTGGAGAATAACCATGAATAGATGTTGTTGAATGGTTGTGAATAGCTGGTATGTGGAGTGTGAGTTTGTGTAGAGTCCATGACTGAGCAGTGTTCTCTTATGCTTTCAGGATCTCTGCCTGAGCCTGTCGTCAACGGAGACATGGAGAAGACGGTAAGACTGGATGCCAAATACCTTATCGACCCAATATCATACAAAACAAATATTTGAGAGAGAGAGAAACAGACAGACAGAGAGAGAAAGAGTTGGGGACAGAGATGCGGTCTGAGGTACGTGAGGGGGGGCGCTAATGCACTCCCACAGAGTGGACTTCCCAAAACACTAGTCTTTTTTTTGTGGAGGTCACTGAAACACTGTGGCTCACTGCTCCTGCTTTGGCACTGACTGGCACTCTATCAGCTGAGCGTTCCTAGGGAGTGGACTAGTATTATTTTATTTGACTGTAGAGTGTGTATTTACTTTGTGTTTGTGTTGGTTCTCTCTCTCCTTCCAGCACTCTCATGACTGAATAGAACATACTGTCTGTTTCCAGTTTAACTCAGGGAGCCAGGAGAGCAGTCTACCCTGACAGAACAGAACCAGGTCCAGGTGTCTGTAAGATAGACAGTACCAGGGCTAGTGTAGCCCTCAATAGTGTGCTCAGAGCCTGGTAGAGGGTTTACATGGTATTGTTGGATAACCTGAAGCTGAAAGCCACACTGTGCTGTTCAGGCATGGAGAATTGAGTAGCACCATGTTAATCCCTCTGAGGTATTTGGGCATAATCCCTTAGTAAGGGGACAAGCCAGCCCACACCTACTGTGTGTGTGTGTGTGTGTGTGTGTGTGGTGTGTGTGTGTGTGTGTGTGTGTGTGTGTGTGTGTGTGGTGTGTGTGTGTGTGTGTGTGTGTGTGTGTGTGTGTGTGTGTGTGGTGTGAGAGAGAGAGAGGCCATAGGATAGCAACCTACTGTATTAACTGGGGATTGTGTGTTGTGATAGAATCTACATATGGTCAGTGATTTGGAGGCTTGCCAATCAGGCAGATAAACCCAGAGTCAGGCCACTGGCAACAAACCGAAGTAGAAGATTTCATTAGGTTAACTCCACTACGTTAATACTATGCTAATATACTTTATCTCTAAAGAAGACAGTCAGTAGTGTGAGACCCTAGTCCTCAGTCATTGACCATCATCTTAACCCCTGAGTCTAACAGTCAAAACATTGGATTAAGAGAGAGGGGAGGCAGGGTAGAGAGGTGAGGGAAAGGGAGAGAGAGATAAGAGAGAGGTTGTAGAGAGATTAGGGTGAGGTCACTCTCTGCGGGGTCGTCAGAAAGCGAATGTTTCCGGGTTTTCATGGATACAGTATTTTCAACCTAACTTCCGTTTCCCCTGGAAAACAGATGTGGGGTCATTTTACGCCCGCTATGTTAGGTTTGGGTGAGGTAGGCACTGTCATGGCAGGACAGGGGGATTGCGTCTTCTCTAATGCTCTGAGCCAATCAGGCTCTGGTAAACTGCTGCTGCCTCTACTGGCCTAGAGAGACATGCCATACAACTTCCCAAGCAGCATGGCCAGACAGTTTGTGTATGGGGCACAGGTACAGGCAAGTCTGCCTCCCTGTGGGCAAATGTAATATTGCAGCCAGACTCTCCATGGAGAGTTCTCTCAAACTTGACCCCCACTTTGGCTACTTTGTATTTGATTTGATTTGTTGCTTGATTAGATGTTTTGCTCCATGAGGTCATGAAGGTTGCGTGCTATCTGTGTGTCCACTGCAGGTGAATGTAAATGGAAAACTGGCCAAAGAGGTGAAGCAGGACTCTAAGCTGTCAAACAGCCCGTCTCCAAGCAACACCTCCTCCAACGCCTCACTCACAACCCCACCCACAGAGGTAAGTCCCGCCCTGAAAACACACATGAAGCAGCATTGAAGCAGCATTATAAAGCAGCTGAAGTCTCATGATCTGAATGTGTATGCATAGTGACACAGTAATGTATAGCAGTAGTCTGTAGTTGAGCACGCTCTTGTAAAATAGACTACTACAATATAAAAATATATATTTATTCTCTCTCTAGCCTCGTTTATACCTGGTGCTAACATGTGTCCTTTGTCCTAATCTTAACCACATTCTGATTGTGCCCAAATTGTAGCCGTTGCGTCTACAATTGTGTCTGCATTGTGACCAGATATCCTGGTCCCTCCGTTTGCAAATTATTTGACAGATATTCTTTCAAAGTAATATCTATTTATTTTAAGACACATTGATGACATAAGTCAAAGGCGTCACCTGTCAATCATTTTAGAGGGTGGGATAATGATGATTTAAATGGTTTCACTGTACAGATCCATCTACACTTGAAAGATATCAAGACACAATGCGTGTCTGAATACCTCCCAAAGTGGTCAGGAAGATCAGATCACAATGTGTCTTTTAATCGTCCACACCTGTCTAAATATGCTGGCAAAATCAGAATGTGGACAAGATCAGGACAAAGGACTCATGCTTAGAACCAGGTATAAACGGGGCTTCTGTCTCTAGTGCATTCTCTCTCTTCTTCTTCTACCACTCCCTTTTAACCCATCTCTCTCCTCCCTGGTTGGTCAGGGGTCTGAGCCAGTGATCATGGGCGCCATCCCGGGTCTGAACCTGTCCCTGCAGCAGGTCAAGGAGCGTGCTCATCAGAAACGCTCCAACAAGAGGGCTCCGCCCATGGACTGGAGCAAGAAAAATGAACTGTTCAGCAACCTATAGATAGAGCACTTCGCCCTACACACACCCACATACAGTAGATACTCACATAGAGGTCAGTGAAGGAGAGAGAGGGACGGAGAGAGAGAGGGGTTGTTCTAAGCCCCATGCTTTCTATGACTCATTAAAACCAGCAGTTTAACTATTGGTGAGGGAGAATACAGGTATATGTATGTAAAATATATACACACAGATTTGTATTATATTCCAGATGCTATGATGTACTAACAATATATAGACGAATATGCCAATGTTGGAAAGGAAACAGCTAGATCAGATAAGAATCTTTGTATTGTGATTTGAAAATCAGTTTTTAAGTATTCCATTTTGCGTGTCGAGGTGGTTGTGTATGTGTGTTCATCGTACCAATTTGTGTGTGTGTACCTGAGTGTGTATGCCCAGAAGACCCTGGAAGTCCCTGCTGGTCATAGCCTGGTGCCTGTACATATAGTGGAGTAGGTCTCTCTTATGGCCATTCCTCTACACGTTAATCAGTCATTCAAACACATTTTACCATACTTTTCTCGCCTTAAATGAGAATGGGACCAGTCACTTACATACCTGACAATCAGCTACCTGTCTAGTCTATCACCGTTCACCTTTTAGGGACCAAATAGGAAGCCTCTGCACACTTCCAGTCAGAAGCAAAATGTATTTAATGTAGCTGAGCTTTGGGTCAGTCGAGCTTCATCAGACTGTGCTCTGATGAAGATCGACTGACCCAAAGCTCAGGTACATTAATGAAATTTGCTTCTGACTGGAAGTGTGCGGAGACTTTTTCATGTTTCTCCAGTTTTGCCTTCAGCACCTTCACTAATCAGCTCTGGGTGGGCAGTAGATTCTATTATCTACAAACCTTTTAGGGACCAAAAACCTGATGAACGACCACTCTGACAGTCACTGTCAGTCATTGGGGAACGATATGTTGGTGCAGTGTCCATCCATACCAGTCTTACTTAACTTCAATAAATCTTACGTCCATACTGTAGCATTGCCATGACCACTGTATATTGTAATACTGTTTGTGTTTTTTTTTTTTATTGCCATTGGCAAAATGCTTTGAGATTTTTACACGTTTATGTAGATGTACTTAAACATAATTTGTTTCTCTAATATGAATATATGTCTGCGCTTCACTAGATTTTATGTGTATGTTCAGTATTGAGAATGAGATTCACTATTTTGACTATTGAATTGTATGCTCTTATTTCTATACTGTATTACATTGTAGATCACACCATTGTTGTCTCACGACTCTCCATTTAAATTAACATTACAGTAACATAAGTGTTAAGAATCTCTTTCTGTGCTATGAAGGCGTAGATGAAATGCACCCACTCTTAAAGGACTTCTAGATATTTAAATCCAGAAATAAAGGAGAGAAGTCAACAGGATCAGACTTGAATATTTAATGGTTAACTGTAAACAAATGAAGATCCAGCTGGATGGAAAAGGACAGATGTTGATAACTCAAGACAGTATAACAGATATCTACAGATCCATTTTAAATAAGGTGCATCTAGCAGGTCTCAGTGCCGTCTGAGACAGACACATCTTTCACATTCACGCAAGGCTCTCCTTCACCTCCTCTTCAAAACCTCTGTTACCCCCTTCCATAACACAAAGCCATGTGTGCGTGTTTAATGTGAGAGCAGCTTGAACGGAAACAGGTGGGACATTCCTGAGAACGACAGGTTACAGCCAGGGATCACATTCACACTGAAACGACACAAAAATGTACAGTACAGAGGCAGAGCAAAAAGTATTATACAGTTTTTGATAACCATGTAGATAATTATTTCATTTCATTCATGTTACAATAAGGAAGACCAGAATCCCTTAACCATGGTTCTGCATTTTAAGGAAATATTTTATGGAAATCTTGAAAATATTTAAGGAAAATCTATACAAAGAACTTTGGTTGAAAATGATTCTGCTCCCAGATATACCTATAAGTATACAATATACATATTTAGATACTCTAATTTAAATACTAGTTGGACTAATCTACATTTAAAATGTTTTTTTTTCTTTCTCCAAAAATAGTGTACATTATTGATATCTTGCATGTCATCCCTCGGCTGTACAAAGCACTTATAACTCCTTATATTGACAGTGTTGACAGTGACGATCGCTAAATATGCTTTGAAAAGCAAAGGTCTTCTTCCCTTTTGTATAAACAATATCATCGAGCACATGTTTTACATAGCTTCATAAAACCAGAAATAACATAGCATCTAATCATTCTGTATTACTAAATAATGACTGTTTTAACAGTACAAACGTACTGGCACCATGCCTTGCGGAAGACACAAACACAGTTTCATTGTGGTCAACATCACTTGGTATAAAATTGATAAAATACAAGAGTATTGAAAATATCAACAAGGTCAAATTGAAATGGTCAGACATAGCAAAATACAAAGGTCAAATGACAGATACAGCGTCTAATACAAATGGTATTGTATGGTAATATTCTGTCTAGGAATGGTTCCTCTCTATAGGCCAGTATAAAAACATTCCACTTCTCCCCATTGTCTCTCTCTCTCTGCTGCTACAGTGGCCAAACAATGACTTCACACAGAGATGGATCCTGTTTGAGAAAGGCGGGGAGGAAAGGCACACCAACAAGATGAAGAAATGGAGGATGATGGGTAGAATAAAAAGGACAATACAGTTTAACTCATGTTATATGAAACGATCCAATACAATGGTGTACTGGTACAGTATGTTGTCCACCCCTCATGTCCCTACAGTCAGTCAGTCAGTCAGAGGCCCTGTGTTGAAACCAACAGGGTTGTTGTGACTTATAGCAAAGCACTGTAGAGCAGAGTTAAGTGCTGGTGTTGAAAGGAGAGGAAGTGGCAACATGGAGGCAGGGAGGAGGGAGGAGGGAGATGGATCCACACTTTTGCATGACTGTTCATTAAAACCATCCCACTCCATGGCACATCCTACAATGTAGTCCCATATGTTTTCTGTTAGTCTGGTGGTGGGGGTTGGTCTGTAGTTTTAGGGGTGTGGGGGTTGGGGGTAACACTGAGCTGGGGTGACCTGCTCCATCCTCCCTCTCACGGTCATTAGTACTTCCTGAGGTGAAGGGTCAAGGGTCAGGGGGCTGGTCAGTGGGGTGGATAGTGGGCTTAGTCCAGCATTGCATCCAGCTGGTCAGCAAGGTCATCAAACATGTTGCCAATGTCATCCAGAATGTTGCCCGCTGACTTCACTGTGTTAGCCCCACTGTCAGGAGAGGTGGAAAAAGAAGCAGGGTTTAGTAAAGATAGATAGAGGACTCTAGTGCTCAAAAGGCTGTTTTATCATGGGCAGCGCGCCACTGAGGACTTTCACCATTTTGAAGTAGTCAACTATGGGTTAAGGAAGGATCACATAATTCCATCCAGGTCAACAGGAGGGATCAGCCAATGAATTATACTCGTGAGCAAACATTCCATAACGGCAGGTGGCAGTAAATCGCCAACCTTGGCTTTATACCTGTTCAAACAACACACTCCAGGTGGCAGTATGCACATTTTCAGTTTGTTTACCAACTCATAGAAGTTGACTACTTCAAAATGGAGATGGCCTCAATGGAGCTGCCCATGCTCTCACAGACGCCATAATGGGACAGATACAATGTTGTATGAATGCTTCTTCAGTTCACATAACAAACAGTACAGTGTATATGGCCTGTACATACTGGAAATGGTGAGGTGTTTATCGTGTTCTCTTACCAGTCAGCGCTGTCCTCCTCGGTGAGTTTTCGCTCCACAGCCTTCAGTGCTGCCTCCAGGGAGGTGCTGGTCTGCTCCAGCCTCTGCTGCTGCACCACCACTACCTCCGGGCCAGACTCTACCCCTGGGCCTGGGCCGACCACACAGACCTGGGGCTTGCCTGTCTGAGCTGCCTGGCTCTGAGGCCCTGGGGCTGGGGGACACCGGCTGGGTGTGGGTGATGGTGGGGCTGAGAAGGCCAGACTCTGTACCATGTTGACAGTCACAGTGGGCGGCACTATGGCTGTTAGACAGGAAGCAAAAGCAGAAACTCAGAATGTATGATAAAAGCCTAAACAAAATGACAATATAATAAGGAGCTTACATGTGTAATACATTACCTGTAGCAGCAGCCAGACTGTGTCGGGACGGTTTGGGGGCGGTGACGGGGGGTCCGTGGGAGCTGTGAGGCTTGGGGGAGACGGGGGGTTTGAGGGGTGTCCCTGTCCCTGTCCCTGTCCCTGTCCCTGCTAGGTTCTCCAGCCCGTCCAGACTGGCCTCACTGATCCTCAGACTGACCAGACTCACCTCCTCACAGCTCTGGGACTGGGGCCTGCTGCCTGGACTGGAGTCTGACCCTATCTGGCACTCACTGTCACTGGTGGGAGAGCTGCCAGCATGGTCTTTAGGCTTGTGTCTCCGCTTCACAGTGTCTGACTCCTTCAGGTTAAACTCAGGCACCTCCAGGGCTGTCTTGGTGGGACTGGTTCTTGTCTGCCGGGATCTCCACATTGCTCTCGGCCCTGGGCCCTCCCACCTTGGGCCTCTGCTTGATGGTGAGGTTGCCCTCCTCGGCGAAGGGGATGCACTCGCTGGAGCTATTGTGAGGGGATGAGGAGCCATCCAACCCCGGTGCCTTAGGCTCCTCCTCCTCAGTGTCTGACTTCACCCCTCGCTCTGTGTCTGGGTAATGGTCTGGGATATCGGTCTGGGCTGGAACACATTCACTCTGCACCCTCCTCCTCACCCCTGCGGAGGCCTCTCTGGGCTCCAGTCCTGAGGGGGTGAGGCTGGGGAGGGGAGGCTCTGGTTGGAGGAGGTCCAGCCTGGGCCTAGGCAGGCTCTTCCCCTCAGTGGAGGCCTCCAGACAGGCTGCGATGCTCCTCACGCTCCCTGGGCTGTCTGTCTCCACCCCCCCAGGAGAGGGCGCCACATTCTCAGTGGACCCCATGCTGGGGCTGCTGCTCACCGAGCTCAGTCTCTTGGGCGGGGCCGGAGGGGGTCCCTTTTTACGAGCGCGCACGGCGAAGGACTGGCTGCGTCCCACGGTGCCGTACTTTTCGGATGTGGTCTGCATGCGTGCCAGCTGGCTGCGTCCAGGCCGGCGGGTCAAGGGTGGCGTAGGACGCTAGGGTGCCAGAGGGCGGAGCCAGGTCGTCATCCTCTTCGTCTGGTTCGCCGTCTGACAGGGCGTAGCGTGTCAGGCTCTGGCTGCGCTTCTTAGGCGGGGCCAGGGTCATGGCGTGGTAGGTGTGTGCCAAGGGCTTGGTGGGCGAGCCATGGCCCAGGTCGGTGCTGCCACAGTGGGAGTGGAGGTAGCTGAAGCCCCTCTGGGCTGGGGAGCCCTGGGGAGAGGAGCCTAGGGAGTGAGACCCAGGGCCTTTAGGCTTGGCTGGGATGGCTGGGTACTTGAACACAGTGGCTGCCCCCAGGGGGACCTGCTTGGGCAGCTGCTGCTGCAGTATGGACCTCTGGTCCCAGCCCTCTGGAATGTTCCTCTCCTTGGCAGGGCTGCTGTCAGCACTGAGGACTGGTGGAGGTGCTGCTGCTGCCTAGGCTCTCCTGTGAGCGGCTGTGGGGAGTGATGGAGGCCGTGGGTGGGTCCTGGGAGCGCCCTGAGCCCCTGGACCGGGCGTCGATGCTCTCTTGGCTCCGAGACATGCCCATGGCACTCTTGATGGCCAGGCCCTCCTGGTAGTGGCTGGACATGGCTGTCTGCAGCTCAGCGCTCAGCTCGCTGTCCTGGAAGGTCAGCATCTTGGGGGTGTGGGGCGAGTGGCAGTCGGAGGCACTGTCGGGGGGCTCGATGGTGACCAGGTGAAGGGCTCCAGGGGGCTTGCGGCGCAACGTGCCCTGGCCAGATTCTGCAGCCAGGATGGCCCTCTGGATGTCACACAGCTTCTTCACAGCCAGCATCATCTTCTTCTGGTGGCCCAGCTTGGTGATGCCTATCTCCTGCAGGTCCTCCCAGGTCAGGTCCCGTACGATGCTGATGGAGTCATAGCCGTTCTCTGACAGCTTCCTTTGGTACTGAGGCAGGCCTATGGTACTCAGCCACTCCCCCAGGTCTGCCTGGAGTAGGGGGGAGGGAGAAGAGTCACAGTCAGACCTACACAGTTGAAACCTTTATGAAAGTAATGTAAAACCTGACTTGCACACAAAAGCTGACAGACAGACAGACAGACACAGGCATACAGTAAGACCTTACCGGGATGTATTCAGGCAGCCACTCAGGGATGCTGAGGTTTCCTATCTCGATAGAGATCTTCTTGCGGTGGCCTGGCTTGGTGACGCCGATGGCCGTCAGGTCCTCTGGGGTCATCCTGCTGATGGTGGGGACGTCGTAGCCGGCCGTGATGAAGTTCCCGGTGTACTGCTCCAGCTGGAAGTCACTCAGCCACTGGTAGATGGCCTCTCCATCCTACACCACAGAGGGGAGGGGTTGAGTATCACATTGACATCAATCACTGGCCTATTCACTGTCCTCCTTTCTTTTAATAGCTACATTTATTTCATTGTAGCATACAAAGACAATCATGAGTTGTAATGTGTGACAAACACAAAGAATAGACTGTCCTGTCCTGTGTCTGTCCTGTTTATGTCCTCTGTCTGTCCTGTCCTGTGTCTGAGTCTCACCTTGCCCTCCAGTAGCTGCTGAGGACGTATAAACTGTGGGGAGACAAACTGCTGCTCCCCTGGTCTCTGTATGTTCACCATCGGCCTCCGAGGAGCACCCAGAACCACTACACAGGAAAACACACAATGGAGAATTAGATGAATGGTGTTTAGGAGGTTTTCTAACAATAAGCACAAAAGTTTCAGGAGAAATGTTGTGGTATGCAACAGTAATGAGAGAAAGCGCTAGTATTCCTACCTGCAGTCAGGTCAGGCTGTTTATTGAGGACTGGTTGCCCTGAGTCACCAGCAGAGGGTGCTGGCTGCACATCAAAACAGAGTGCAAGACAAGTTACAGAGAGCACAGGAATAAACAATCTGTTGACTGGATAAACAAACCTGAAATAATAATTGGTCCAGTACCTTGGCTGTGTCTGGGAGTGCAGTGGTCTGGTGGTGTAGTCCGTTGGGGGCAGTGTTGTTGTTGCTCTCTGTGCTCTGTCCACTCCCAGCACTACGGGTGCTGCCCACACTGCCTGTACTCCCTACACTGTTCCTGTCACCTGCTAGATAGGACCACAGGAGAGGAGGATGGAGAGAGGGAGAAGAGAAAGAGAGAGAGAAGTGAGGTGATGTTAAAGACAACCGTGGTGGCTGGACAGCAAAATGAGGTACCTCCCCTCTGTGTCCTTCCAGACCTCACGTCAACACAGTCACACAGACATCCACATGATTCTAACTGAAGCTGGCAGAGGATGGCAGAGGTTGGGGCTGTGGACTGTGTCACTGAGCCAGCCAAGTCATCATAGATCAAGGGGGGGCACAGGCCAGGGCAGGAAGTCCTTTGCTGCCATACAAAGCCAAGGGAGATGGTTGCATGGTGGAGTGGAGCGGAGCGGAGCTGCAGGCATAGAGCAACAACAGCCAAGGGTACAGAACTACAGAACTACAGGGGTAAACTACAACTACAGTCCAGATGAAGGTCATCCACAATGGAAAATTCCTACAGCTAGTGACACTGAGTACACAGAGCACCCATTAAGCTTGCAGTGTTCTGTAGAATGTCGAGATTGTCAACTTTTTTTGGTTACTGGAACAGGGGCTTCCTGGTGGTGGTCCCATCTTGTGGCAGCAGGGAGAACAGCAGGAGCTATGGGAAGCTCAGTTTGAAGCTGGCACATGACAAAGGTAGAGCGTGGGGACAGGGGGCAGAGACAGCCAGCTATTGTCATTGGGGAACAGTGGAGGGACAGTGGAGGGACTCTTACCCGCGGTGTGTGAGTTCCTGAGCACCCAGATGTCCTCCAGGGGACAACCAGGCTGAGAGAGGTTGCTGGGAAGGCCGACCTATCAGACATAACAACACTCTGTTGGGGCCATGGGGGTACCATGGTCCACAGAGCAGCACTGGGGATTGGCTGGGCCTGGGCATGAGACGGGTTTAGAAGGGGCGAACATAGGTGTCCTTGTGCCCTCACCACGGTTCACAGTGGTGGAGGAGTTGTCTGGCTGGTTAGGGGGCTGAGTACCGTATACCTGTTTCGATGTGCGTCTGTTACCTCTGAGTGCATGTATAAGGGTGTGTGTGTGTATACCTGGGTTGGCGCTGAGGCCGTTGGCGTGGGGGAGGGCCAGGTGGGGGTTGTTGGGGGTGTACAGTGTGTAGGAGTCGTCGATCTGGGGGGCTGAGCTCAGGCTGGAGGAGAGGGGGGCTCTGGAGAGGAGCTGCTGGCGCTGGGTGGGCAGAGAGGCGTGCCGGGACAGGGTGCCCCCTACAGGGTCAAACAGGTAGGACACACAGACAGAAAGGAGGTTAATGCAAGCTGATGGTTAGAGGTGGACATTACATGGTATGGATGGAGAGATGCTGGAGGAAGAGGAGGGGGAAGAGAGACAAATAGGAGCAAGGGATGGATTGGAAGCATTAGGGATTAGTCCAACCAAGGCAGTCTGGGAAATGGAGTGTTCTCTGGAGGGGCCAACCTGTAATGAAGAGGGGCCACCACTGCTCTTCCAATGCAGTGATGATGTGTAGCGATACAACCAATCAGTGTGTGTGTGTGTGTGTGTTGGGGGAGGGGGGGATGGGGCTTTATTTATTGATGACTGTGAGAGATACATTAAACACAATATTACACACAATATACACTTGAGCCAAGGGAGATACAGTTCCTTCAGGAAGTATTCATACCCCTTGACTTATTCCACATTTTGTTGTGTTACAACCTGGATTCAAAAATGTTCCATCTATAGATTTTTTTCTCAGACCTCATCTACTATAAAATTCACTACAGTGTCATACATTTGAATCACTTTAACAAATCTTTAGGACTAGAGTCATCTTCAGCTCTGTCAAAGTGGTTTTGTCATTGCTAGACAGCACTTTCTACCTTGTCCAAGACGCTCATGAGCCAACTTAAGTCAAACTGTAACTAGGTCCTCAATCGCGTTTTTTTTTTTACCATCTACTAATGTGCCCTTGCTTTGGAGGCACAGGAAAACCTCCTGATCTTTGCGGTTGAATCTGTGCTGTGAAGTTGACTCTTAATGAGGACCTACGATAATGTTCAAAACTATTATTACATACAGATTGAGTCCATTCAACTTATATGTGACTTGTTAAGCACTTTTTCTCTGACTTATTTAGGTGCATATAAAAGGGGTTGAATCATTTGCTTTTCATTTTCCATTAATTTGTGAAACATTCTAAAACAAATCTCCATTTTGACATTGGGGTATTGCTGGTAGATCAATGACACACATTTCAATGTACCTTTTTTTTATTCAGGCTGTAACACAACAAAATGTGGAAAAAGTCAAGGGGTGTGAATACTTTCTGAAGGTACAGTAGGTGCAGAGGGAGAATTTAAGATGGGTCTCCCGTTCCCCTGATCTTTTGTTGTGGTGACAGATTTGCAGAGAAGACAGAAACATGAGAGTCATTTTCATCTGACTGCAGTGCAGAGCTGCTCCTTGTTCTGTCAAAGCTGCTCCATGAGTGTCACCACCCCAACCTATTCAGTCAGGGATTTCTCCCTCTAGTGCACATCAAAGAGGTGGTGTGGGGCGGATTCTCTTCTTCTGTGGTGTTAGGTAGGTAACTGACACCTTCTGTTAATCTAACCGGTATTAGAGGTAGACTGCGTGGGTAAGGTTGGGAGTTTTTACATCATGTACAATAGCAGATGACTCCTGCAGTTCCAAGCCATTTCCAGTTCCATCTCTAACTTAATCCTGCATTGTGAGTGTGCTGACATGTCTGGGAGATGAGTGAGTTAATGAGTGTGTGAGTGTGTCTGTGTGTAGATGTTCCGACATGCCGGATGCTGACTCAACAAGCTACGAATCCTCCATTTGCTGTGGGTGCCACGGTTACGCAATGAAAGAGGCAAATGTCAGAGGGCTCTCTCTCTTTGCCCATTGCTTTCAGATGGGAGGGGGGAATAGCTAATGATTACACTGTGTGTGTGACTGACCTGAGCGTCTGCTGATGACCTCTACAATGTTCGGGGGGAAGTAGCCCACCCGGTCGGTGCCCCTCTGGCTGTCGTGGATGTGCCCTTTCCAGCGCCCGTCCATGTGCTGCTCTAGGACCTGCCAGGCAGCCAATCAAAAACATTAAGACAGGTCTAAACCAATCAGATGGCTATTACTACCCTGTGTCTCTCCATATTGAGGCAGGTAGGAGGTCTGTGAGACCGTGGTGTTATTTCCACTGTTTATGAACGTGTGTAAAGGAGTGTGCAGATCGGGGACATTGACAGAAAGTACATGTTCCAACTTGAAACACATTCTGTATGTTAACAACTTAATCTGTGTATCTATGTCTCTGTATGGTTGGTTTTCAGAATGTCAAAGACGCTTTACATAAATTGGGAGGGTGATACAAAAGCAGCCCTGAGATCAACTGTAGTACATGGACACACAATAACAAACCAAAGAGAGAACCAAAAGGTCAAGCACATGAATAGATGATGACAGTAGTCATGTGTTTCTGATCATGTTCCATTTGTCCACATGAGCTGCTAATACCAAGACCATAGTCTCTGCTCCCTAATTTAGCAGCCTTAGTCAGAGGATACAAGCCAGGGACATTAGGGTTAAGGGGCTGAGGGTATGAAGGAAGAAGAGGGGTGTTGGGTTGTGTGTCTGGTAAAAGTTGTGGGTAGAGGGGGAAATAGCATGTACTGAATGGGCCAGATTGGCAGCTATAGAAAAATACTTCGATATTCATTGACCCGCTCAAGTTGGCAACACATCTTTTTCTAAAGGCCTAAACTCGCTCAAGGCACGCATGCGATTTATTTTAGAATGCATTGTTTTCAATGATAATAACCCAAGCGAAGCCTGGCGGGCGTGCTGTCCACTTTGACGCCTCGCTCAATTAGAACGTGTCTCTATTTTTGCTTTTTATCGCTGGTGTTGTAATAACACTAAATAATATTTTTTGGGTAATTATAAACTTTTTTTTTTGCTAATTGGATGAGGTAGCTAAGATCTGAGGCTTTACCATACATGCTAAATTAGACCAATGAATCCACTTATGTAACACAACATCGCTATCAGCCTGTCCCTGTCCTCTTCACCCGCCTCGCTCTGCCCGACCGCTTCTGGTGAGTTTTGCGCTTTAGTTCGGCACCAGTCCCTACTAAGACGTCAGATAACCTTTTGCCCAGTATCTAACATTACTGTGTGTGGAGGGTTTGGCGGCAGGGCTGTGGAATGGGTGTGACCTGAGGTGGTTCTAATGTGGCGACTGAGTGTGCCCTGAGAAAGGCTTGTTGATGGGTGAGGTGGATGACCTGAGGGCAGGTTTTGTAAATCGTCCCTCTCTGGTACTGAAGCAACCTCACACTCCACTGCAGCAGAATAGACCGACACACTCCCAAGAAGAAAAACAGGCCAGGGTTCGTGAGAGACAGCCATGAGTGTGTGACAGTATTAGTTAAGTCATTGCTGAAAGGAAGTGATAGATGAATACCAGGGCCTGTCCCTACCCGTCTCTCTCTCTCTGGGCTCAAAGAGATCCATCCTTCAGATATAGGGGCTCACTGTACTCTCTCCTTATAAACTAGTTCCCCCTCAGGAATATGGGTAGTGAAGTTCACCTGTTGTACGCCATACCCCTAAGGACCTACGGGACCTTTAATTGATAGATCACACATCAGGTGCAGTACAGTGATACTTTACACCCTGTCACAGTCTTCACATTTTGCTGCTTTACAATGAGGTATTAACTCTGGGGTGTAAAGACACACAATCAAGACATTTTTTTTTATTTTTATTTATTTTTAAATAATATAATTTGTCTTTAACTTTGGGAACGTGGAGTAGGTTGTGTAGATCGGTAGGGAAAAAATGATATGTATTCCCTTTTGAGATTACATTTTAAGGCAGCAAAATGTGAAGACTGTGCAAGGGGTGTGTAGACGTTCACTAGCGACTGTATGTGCTACAGTATGACTGGTTGTAAGTTGATCACATCAAGTAGACCTATTAATGGACACATGGGTTGTTTGTTTGTTTACTGTCCTATAGTCCAGTGGTTTTCAAACCTATCCTCTGGGACCCACAGACGTTTCACAATTTAGTTGTAGCCCTGAACTAGTTTACCGGATTCACCTATTCAAGGGCTTGGTGATTAGTTGACATGTTGAATCAGGTGTGCTAGCTGTGGAATAGCTCAACTACATGGAACAGCTGAAAATCCCTTCTCTAGTCCACACATATCTACATACTGTGCCTACTGACTACTCGTGAAGCCACCCGTACATAAACACCAGCCTGTCTCCCTCATTACTACTAAAACACCTGTTAGAGAGAATGAGCCTGACAGTTCACAGGGAAAACACACCTGCCCTAACAGACAACATGGGGGCAGAGAGTGTGTGTGTGTGTTGTTGTGTGTGTGTGTGTGTGTGTATGTGTGTGTGTGTATCCTGCTGCCTACCATGATGACATCCCCGGCCCGGATGTTGAGAGCGGTGGGGTCGTGGAGGTTCCAGTAGTCTTTCAGAGCTCTCACCTGCAGGACACCTGTAGCATCTGTGTGTGAGATAGTAGGGGGTGGATGAGGGGACAGGCACCAGATGACTCCCGGCCCGGATGTTGAGAGCGTGGGGAACAAGGTTTTTAAAGAGGGTAAAAAGAAATGACCTTTTGGAATTTTGGGGGAAAAAAGGGCTTGGGGGGGGGAAATTTTTTCCCCACTGATGCCAGTAGCTTGAAGGATTAACAAAAATTTTTGGGAAATGGTTGTTTTTTTGTTTCCCCGTTATGTAGGGGTTTTTTAAATATTTAAAAATTTTTTTTTTGGTTGTGTGTTTTTGGTTTTTTTTTTTTTTGGGTTGTTTTTTTAAATCCGCGGGGAAATGGAAAAACCCCCTTTCTGAAATATCTCAATTTGGCCCTAACCTGACCCCCCCTAAAACAAGCCTTTTCCCTAAACTAAAAACAAATGTCAGAGAAGGCGACAAAAGAAAACACAAGCCTCCTCCCCACATGGGGACGTTGGGTAAAGATTGGAACAAATTTATCCATTGAGCCATTAGATTACATAGAAATAGTTTTTGGAGTGATGTTTTGTGTGTGATGGTATGGTAATGTATGTGTATGTTCCTTTGAATTTTTTTGTTGGTTGTTGTGCTGTGCTGGGTGTGTGTTTGCTTTCTAGGTGTTGTGCGGTTGTGTTGTTCTGATCCTCCAGTGACCTTTCTGCCCATGGGTTGTTGGTTTCTCCATTCCCTGTTCTTTCAACCTTCCCTGCACCCCCGTCATCTTGTTTGAAAGCTAAAGTGTTGGCCTTTAGGTGGATTGTGACGGGTGGGGGTGTGAGCTAGGGAAAGGGAAAAAGGAAGGAAAAGGGGGTTTACCCCCTTCTCTCTTTGCCTCTTCTCTCTTTCCCCTAACTCCCTCTCTCTCTTCTCTCCTCTTTTCTCTGACTTCTAATCTCCCTTTTTCCTCTCTGTCTTTCCAGTTTCACCTGTTTTTCCTGCCATTTGGGCACCCCGGCAATGTGGTTTGGTATGTTTGTTTTGGTTTTGTTGTTGGTGTGTTCTCCGGGACCGGCGGGGGAGAGAGTGGGGTAGGAGGTGGGGGTCAGAGGCTGGACAGAAGATTGGGTGGAGATAGAGGGGGACAGAGAGAGGGGTAAAGAGAGGGGGGACAGTAGGGTGAATAGATAGAGTGGGAAAGAATTTTACCAGACGGTTTTTGTCTTTTGGGTCCCTAGTTTTTGTATTTTCTTTTTTTGCAAATTTTGTCATGTTTGGTTTCTTTTTGTTTCCGTCTCTTTGTCCCTCTCGTTTTTCTTACTCTATTGGCATTGACCTCATTTTTTCAGTTATTGATTTACATGTCTCTTTTGCAACTACTTCCCTATTTTTCAGAATGGAAAAATTCAGAGAATTTTGAAGATCGAGATATTGATATTATAGCACTTCAACCTTCATCCCTTAAGGAATATACCAAAGCTGCTACAATCCCATGCTTTTGTTTTTATCAGTCACATCCGGCACTGGTATGGAATGCAGTGACGTCAGAGAGCAGAGTCAGTCAGTGCTGTATTCAGCCTCTGACTGGTTGGTACACATCAATAAGTAATCCATGACGAGGAGGCGTGGTGGCTGATTGTGTTCTATTAATCTGTTATTCACTCTGCCCTGAACACAGAGGGAGAGAGAGAGCTGGATCATAACAGGAAGTCTCTCTCCATGGCCTCCATGTTTGAAGCAGCAGGCTGCTGACTGAGGAACACAAGTGCTCATTATGGCCTGAGTTCCCAGGCTGCTAGAAGCAGATCAAAGACCCAGGCCAGGCCTGCTGGCTTACCCAGATGAGATAGCCCAGAACAGCAAGAGTCCAAAACCCTCACCCTCTCTGCCCAATCGCATGTACACAAGGTGGCCACTTACCCAGCGCACCACAAACGCATAGGTCGCACACACGCACCCACACACACCTAGTCTTTTGGGTGTGTGTGTGTGTGTGTGTGTGTGTGTGTGGGAGCTGATAGGGTTATGTAACCTGTACTCTCTGATGTTAAACACAGCTGCTTGGTGAATTACAGTTTAGAGCATATCATATCCCTCAGTCTCTCCTCTGGGCCGCTCTCGCTATAGGAGCGTCTGCACTGGCTCTGTCTCAGTCCCTGGTCCTCCTCTCCCCAACAACAACAGTACACACAGACAACACCCTCTAACACTCGTCCTGCAACTCAGAGGTCCGTTCCCTGCCAAAAGTAACAAAGAAAGAAATACGCTAGCAGGAATCTATGCTGACATTGTTTCCAAGGGAGCATCCACACGTGCCCTAATGAGGTTGTCTTTTTCTTTTCACACAAAAAAACACACAAATACATTAGGAGGAGCACAATTAACAGTATTTGAGGAGAATGTTTTTATGATAAATGACTAAAAGTTCATGAATAAAATATTTTTGTGGTGTTCCATGCTTAAGCAAGTACAATGTACCCTCAAATATTTGAGTCACTTAGGGGAGACAAAAATATTCAGCTGCCCCTTTAAGGGTAACAGTGAGACTGGCATGTCTGTCTGTGAGAGATGAGATTCTCCGATGTCCCTTCACTAGCAGTTGAGTTGAGCAAGCTCAAACAAACTACCATTGTAAAACAACCTAGCGTGAGAACAAAATTATATACATAGCCAAGAAACACAAGGACAAAGTCACAATTTAGTAGCCTTTAGGGTAAATTCGACCAACTTCTATGCCTGTGTGCTTCAAAAAATGAATCTTTCAGCACCACTCAGTGCACACAGTGCCCCAGGCCCTGTTTCTGCGCCAGGTTGGATATATGGGACTCTACGTAGCCTAGTCCTTTGTGTGATTAGATACCAGCTATGAAACAAAACGGCCAAAATACTTTGAAAAGAGCTACGGCAGCAATTCTTATGCTATAAATCAAAACTCGCACATGTGCTCATACTTGACTTTTTCAGTTTGCACACATCTAATTTTAGGCGCATATGTGAGTAAAATGGTCGCACTGTACAGCCCTGGTTAGAGGACAATAAAGTAGGTGAAACACAGAATGAGAGGTAAAGACTGCCAAAGAATGATACTTCATGGAATAATGTCTTCATTTGTTAACAACCATCTCCTGTCCCAGTGTATTGCAGTGGTGAGTGGTGCTCTGTTCACCTCGTAGGAGCTGCTTGATGTCCTTGCTGGCGTGAGAGGTGGTGAACTGGTTCACGATGTCCAGGGCTGTCTGGTTGTACGTGTTACGGATGTTCACGTCTATACCAGCCTGTCAAAACCACACACAACATTATCGTCAATCAGATATGCACTGAAACACACCAACACACACAATGTTCTCAACTCTAATGCAGTCAACGGCAATTTACTGTACTGTATAGCCAATTCAATAATACACTTCACTTACTCTGGACAATATGTTCCCAACTGTTAGTTGAATGTGGTAGAATAGTGATTGAATCAGACTAGTTAAAGACTAAATGAAGTGAGGTTGATGTCCCTCCAGGTGTCTTACCTCTAGCAGCTGTCTGACCACCTCCGTCTTGCCGTAGAGGGCAGCCTCGTGCAGGGCAGTGCCAGCCTTGGTGGCCCTGTTGATGTCGATGCCCGCTTTCAGCAGCAACCTGAACCAGAGAGGAACAACACAATACTACTTTAGTACAACTTCAAGTTTACAAGTTAACTCCAGGGTGAATTGTAAAGGTTTCTGCGAGGCAGAGCCATGGATGGAGCCAGCAGGACCAGATGCCAGGACAGTACAGTACATGTTGTGTATGGCACCGTAGCTAGTCTGCTCAACATCCCACATCACATCAACTCACTGAGGTGCCAGGGGGGAATTCACACTGCACAAACACACACACAGATATCACATGCAAATGCAGACACACACTCACATATCCTGGTATTAGACAAGTTAGGCTTTAGAATATTAGCGGGAATGTCAGCGCTCTTCTGGGAATGTACAGCATGGAATGTTTGTGAGAGTGGCAGGAGAGGTATATTCACACACACACACGCAAACGCACACATAGCACACACACACACTGGGCGAGGGGAAGTGGGCATGCACACACGCCCATATGCAAAAAATAGGTTTTGGTAACTAACTACCACAAACCCATAACCCCTGTCTGTCTTTCCATGGCATTCCTGCTTATCAACCATACCATCTCACAATGACCTCTGTCACAATCACACCATCTATCTATAGTAACCCAAAATAACCAGACTGATTCAGACAGTGACAGTGACTTGCATCATCAGTTTGCCTCACCACTCGCTTTAGTAAATAAGGCAAGAATCTAACAAGAAGTCGCTTAGAGACAGGAGACAGGGAGAGAAAGAGAGGGATTTTTGGGGCTCAGTTGCAGAGCAGAGAGCGATGACTCAGAAGACTGAGCCCTGGGAAGGAGCCGTCTGGGACAGACGGAAAGAGCAGAGAGAATGAGGCAGATAGAGAGAGAGAGAGAGATTAGAGAGAATAGAGAGAGCGAGAGCAGAGATGAGAGAGGCGAGGAGAGAGAGAGTTGAGAGCTCGATGAGAGTCGCGTCTCGAGACGAGGTACTAGCATAGAGTGAGGAGAGAGAGCGAGAATAACAGAGAGAGAGACCATCACGAGAGATACATAGACAGAGATAAAGAGCACGAGAGGAAGACAGAGAGAGACGAGAGACACTCGAGACAGAGAGACAGAGAGACAGATAGAACAGAGAGATACATAGAGACAGAGAGAGACATAGAGACAGAGAGAGACAAGAGAGACAGAGAGAATAGAGAAAGCGAGAGACAGACCGAGAATAAGAGAGACATTAGAGAACAGAGAGACAGAGAGACAGAAGAAGAAAAGAGACCTGAGAATAGAGAGACAGAGAAAGAGAGAGACAGAGAGACAGAGAGAGAAAGAGAGAGACAGAGAGACAGAGAAAGAGAGAGACAGAGAGAGAAAGAGAGAGACAGAGAGACAGACAGAGATATAGAAACAGGGAGAGGAAGAATACACCTCCCTTACTTGAACTTCATTATTCTCATCCTGTTACAGATACTGTGCTTCAGCTGCATATCTCTTCCCTCTCCCCATCTCTCTACCTCTCTCTCCCTCTCTCTGCCCTGCGGCTGCTAAGCTCTGGGTCAGTGTGCTCGTTTCATTTCACCTTAGAAACACAAAGGAGGGCAGGCTCATCAAAGTCTCTCTGTCCCTCTGGTTTGGCTGGGTGCTGAAAGAGAGAGAGAGAGACCTATCCTGTTCTCCTCTCCTCCTTTGGGGCTGCACTGACTCAATAGCACATTGTTCATATCCCCCATTTCATACCTCTATTACATGGATGTCTATGCGAGGCCAAAGTGGTAGAACCATGGGACAGGTTACAGCATGTATTGTGGTAACATAACCGTGTGATTGGACCACAGGGCATTGTTATTAAGACATATGGCCACTATAGACTGGATCCCAGAAATCATTGTGCCGTGGTTGAATACACAGTTTCTGTCTTTCAATATCAATTACATTTACATCATTTAGCAGACGCTCTTATCCAGAGCGACTTACGAATTGGAAGCCAATGAAAGCCTTGACTGTTCCTTTGGTAAGGTGGTTTGGACCAGGGAGGTGTGTAGGACTCCTTAACACTAAAACTGCTAAAACAGTCATTTTGACTGCTCATTAATTGTATTTATTTATTAAACCTGCCATTTAAGTCATGCTCCCCTCCATCCTTGACTTTTCCTAAATAAGTATATCTATCACACTGTCTGTGCTAGAATCTTCATATCACAAACAGAACTGGAGTTAGAACCACATTTAGGAGGGCATGTCATTTTAAAAAATTGTTTTCCCTCCTTCTCCCGACAGTAGGGCCTGCTCCACTCCTTCTCCCGACAGTAGGGCCTGCTCCACTCCTTCTACTGACAGTAGGGCCTGCTCCACTCCTTCTCCCGACAGTAGGGCCTTCTCCACTCCTTCTCCCGACAGTAGGGCCTGCTCCACTCCTTCTCCCGACAGTAGGGCCTGCTCCACTCCTTCTACTGACAGTAGGGCCTGCTCCACTCCTTCTACTGACAGTAGGGCCTGCTCCACTCCTTCTACTGACAGTAGGGCCTGCTCCACTCCTTCTACTGACAGTAGGGCCTGCTCCACTCCTTCTTCCGACAGTTGAAAGTGCAGTGCCCAGCTGATAATCACCTCAATAACTGCCTCGAAACTGAACCTAAACTAATACCGAAACTAATTTCACACATATAACAACCAATAAAATAAATTAAATAAAGGATTGATGTGGAGAAAAGGGGGAGAATGGGTGATTTGAGTGGGCTTGTCAGTATGCATTTCACTGTAAGGTCTACACCTGTTGTATTCGGCGCATGTGACAAATACAATTTGATTTGATGAGCAAGGGGAAGCGAACAATGCATAATTATGTAATCACCAATTGTGAGCCATTCTATTGTATTGATCCATTCTAATTATAATCTTCAAATGGTATGCACCCTAAATCATTCCACTGAATCAAAGCAGTCTTATCAGTCTACTCTGGCCTACTTGAAGTAGGCTACACAGTGAGAACATGCGGAATTGCACATGCTGAACAGATTTCAATATCTGGGAAAATATCTACATCGGGCAGCAGGTGAGTGAGTGTCGGAGACCTTACATTAGCAAGGGGAGAAATGTCACCATGGACAATTTCTTAACTTCACTGTCATTGGCGAACAATTTGCTTGTAAAGAAAACAAGTCTGGCCTGCACCATGAACAAAGTGAGACGGGAGCTCCCTCCCTCTGCACAAAATAAGGCACCTGCACAGCTGTTGTACTCCACAACGGTGCTGAAGAATGACAAGACAACGGGAACACAAAGAGAAAACTGGAGACTTTATGCACTACAACCAAACAAAGGTATGTCAGAGTGTGTCAAGCAAGTGAAAGTTATGAAGATTTGTGTCCAACTGTTAGGACAATGGATAACAGCTAAATGAAATCCAACTGTTAGGACAATGGATAACAGCTAAATGAAATCCAACTGTTAGGACAATGGATAACAGCTAAATGAAATCCAACTGTTAGGACAATGGATAACAGCTAAATGACAATCCAAACTGTTATGGACAAATGGATAACAGCTAAATGAAATCAAACGTTAGGACAAGGGATAACAGCTAAATGAAATCCAACTGTTAGGACAATGGATAACAAGCTAAATGAAACCTCCACCTGTTAGGAACACATTGGATAACAGCTAAAATGAAATCCAACTGTATAGGACAATGGTTAACAGCTCAATGAAATCCAACTGTTACGACAATGGATAACAGCCTAAATGAAATCCACTGTTTAGTACAATGGCAAACCGCTAATGAAAGCCAACTGTTTAGGACAATGGAATACAGCTAAATAATCCAACTGTTTAGGACAAGGGATAACAGCTAACTGAAATCCAACTGTTAGTTAGGACATGATAACAGCTAAATGGAAATCCAACTGTTAGACAAGGGATACAGCTTAAATGAAATCCAACTGTTTGGACAATGATAACACTAAATGAATCCAACTGTTAGACATGGCTAACAGCTAAATTAATCCCACTGTTAGGACAATGGATAACAGCTAAATGGAAACCAACTGTTGGACAATGGATAACAGCTAATGAAATCCAACTTTTAGGAACAATGATACCACTAAATAAATCCAACTGTTAGGACAAGGGATAACAGCTACTGAAAATCCAACTGTTAGGACAAGGTATAAAGCTAAATGAATCCAACTGTTATGACATGGATTAACAGCTAATGAAATCCAACTGTTAGGCATGGATACCAGCTAAATGAAATCCAACTGTTAGACAATTGATAACAGCTAAATGAAATCCAACTGTTAGGGCAAAAGGGTAACAGCTAAAAAGAAATCCAACTTTTTGGACAAAGGGGGTACGCAAATAAATCCAAATGTTTTGGCAAGGGGCAGCTAAAGAATCCAATGTTAGGGCAAGGGGTAACACTAAAAGAAATCCAACTGTTAGGACAAAGGATAACAAATGAATCCCTTTATGAAAAAGGGTCAAAAACCCCCCCAACTGAAAAATCCAAAACCCTGTTAGGACAAGGTATACAGGCCAAAAACACTAATGAAACCCAAACTGTTAGGACAAGGGATAACCTTTAACATGAAATTTCCAACTGATCCATTGCTTTGAAATGCACACAATGTAAACATGAGCTGACAATAATTAACTATTTTTGACTGCTGTCATATCGACACTTTTATCCATTATAATGCCATTATTGCTTTTGCACCGAGTTTCATTATTTATCAAGGCCACTTCACGCTATAATGATGTTTAGGCTACTGATGTTTTCATCATTTGACCGTGCGTATTGGTGGTTGGGGTATTTTTATTTTGCAGTTATAAAAAGAAGCTGTTACCGTGTTCCAACACATATACTTTCTGTTTCATAGTTGTAACAAAGGAACTCCAATAAGAACATTTCTTGAACACTTGAATTTTGGCGTTCTTCTTCTTTTTTTCGTATATCCTACAGTAACAAACTAATGAAAATGCTATTGTGTTATTTGAAATAAAATAAAAATCATATTCTGATGTTACCCAAGGCCTTCATAAACACAACCAAATGATTATTTTTGCGATAGCATATATTCAATATATAAATGACACTGTTAGAATGTTGCAGTCAGAATGACTGCTCATTAGCTTGAAGGTGGGGTCCATCGAGACCCAGCAGTTCTAGTGTTAACTGTCTGGTCCCAACTACTACTGATAGATCAGCAGCCACATCTCACTGGCAGATCTGGGTCACATTGGCAGCACTGCAGCCTCACACCATAGAGCCTCCCTCTCAATCTCTCTCTCGGTTTCTCTCCAATGTCTCTTTCTGCATATCTATCTCTCTCTCTCTCTCAGGCTAGTGACAGACTGCTGCAGCTGTCAGTGAAACATGGGAACAGGGCTGTAGAGTAGAACCCCCTCCTCCTCCTCTTCTCTCTGGCAGGGCTCAGGGTGAGCTGGGTGTCTGGTTCTGGACTGTGCCAGACAGACAGACTCTGATGTAGGTCTCCATGGAGGTACTAGGGGATTGGGGCTGTGGCCCCTGGTGGAGTAGACATTGGACAGGCTGTTTTATAGCCTCCCAGCTAGTCAGATCAGAGATTGGGGTACTAAGAGTCAGTGTTGAGGAAATATATGGCTAGATCCACTTGAGAGAGCGAACACACACACCACAGTATTCCAGAGTGAGGGTGTGGAGACAGAGCCATGTCTGATGGTTCTTGTCTTGTCCATAGTACAGTGGAGAGGAAGAGGGATGAGGAAGGAGGAGGAGGAGGAGGGGCAGAGGGTAGACCCATGGGAACCATTTACTGTCCTGTTGAGTCTCCCAGCACACCAGTTCGAGATCAGTGACTGTGTTAACCCTGTCAGACCCCTGTCCACCTCTACACCTCAGAGGAGGTGTTCAATCACACAGACCTGCACTGACCAACCATGACCAATCATAGCCTTTCATTTAGTATGGGAAAAATGACAGGTAATGACAGGCAGAGGAATAAGTCCCATAAGAAAATATCAATCTATCAATGTACACACAAATCAGTATGGGCTGAATCCGAGCCTGAGAAACATGTACACAAATCTGCATTAAAACTTTTCTGAAAATCTTTCATTGACATCAACGCATGATTTATACAACACTTAATACACAATACGAGTTTTGCATACATTTCTCAAGTTCAGATTGTGAAAAACAATAGAAAGTATCTTACCGGATGATGTCCTTGTGTCCGTTGCGTGCGGCGAGGTGCAGCGGCGTGTTGAAGCCGGAGTCTGTAGGTTCCTTCCTATCACCCTCTAACAGAGCCACCACCATGTTACTGCTCAACAACAGCTGAGCAACCTGAGAGGAGGAGTGGAGTGAGGAGGTCAAGAAAGTAATAAAGCCATGGAGACAGAAGAGAGGAGAAAGGGAAATTGAAGAACAGAGAGAGAGAGAGGAGAGAAGAGTAGAGAGAGATGAGAGAGAGAGAGAGACAGGAGAAAAGAGAGAGAGAGACAAAAGAGAGACACAGAAAGACCAGGAGAGGAGAGAGAGAGAGGAGAGAGACCAGAGACAGACCGAGAGAGAGAGACAAGAGGAGAGAGACAGATAAGACAGAGAGAGAGAGAGAGATAAAAAGAAGATAGATAGATAATTTTAAAGATAAATAATTTGAATACAAAGAGATGAGAGACAGAAAGACATAAAGAGAGAGACAAGAGAGATAAGAAAATACAAAAGAATAATAGAGAATAGATATGAGAGAGAGTAGAGAGAAGAGAGAGAGAATATAATAAAAGAATATAAATAAAAAGAAAAGAAGAGAGAGGATATAAAAAGGAAGAGACAGAGGAAAACAAATAGGATAGTACATCAAAATAAAATAGATAGATGGGAGATAAAATAAACAAGGATATAGTACATAGCTAGTATATATATATATGTTAGGAGTGGAATGAGAGGATGAAAATGTGGAAAGAGAGAGGGGACGGGAAATGAGGAAAGGCGAGGGAACCAAGAAAAGAGAATATAACAGCCCCCCCTTCCGTACAAACCCCTGAAACCAAAATAAATGCACACACAAAGAAACCCAAAATTAAAAAACCAGGATTCTAGGGATTACATAAATACCCCCCAAAATATCTGGGGGGGTTACCAAGTGATAAGCTACCTCCCCAGTCTTCACCCACAACACCCAGTTAAACCTTAGTTCGTTTCTGCCCACTTGTTCTCCCCCCTGGCCCCCCCAAGACCTTTAGGAAGAGAGGAAGGACCACAGGGCAGAGAGGAAAAGGGACCGAAAGGAAGAGTGGAGGGGAGATGTTTGGGAGGGCCTTGCACACCTTGGACCCAACAGCATATCCAAACATGCCCAAAACACACCCACACACACTACACTCCACACACACACACTACACTCCCCACACACTACATTCCACACACACACACTACACTCCACACACACACTACACTCCATTCCACACACACACACACACACACACACACTACACTCCCCACACACACACTCCACACACACAGGTCATTCCACAGTTGAGCCAGTGTCAGCATTCTAAAGATATCCCATTCTAAATCAATCCTGGGGGACAGTAGTTACAGGCTAACTCTCTCAAGTCTCATTCAACAAACACACAAGCACAAACAAAGCTGCCCAGCAAACCTTTCAGTAACAGGAGCTACAGACCTGCCAATACTTCCTCTCCAGCCCACATCCAGATAAATAAGAATGAAAGACGAGGGGATTTTCCAGCCCAGCATAAGAGGAAAGCAGCGTTCATAATGTGTGTGTGTGTGTGTGTGCCTGTGTGTGTGTGTGTGTGTGTGTGTGTGTGTGTGTGTTTGTGTGCGTACTATTACTTCACCCTGGCTTGGTTCGGCTTCACACTGTCCTATCCAAACTAAACGCTGCTGCAGCACTATTTGAGACCAGGGACGTTGATTTAGGCAGCGCACAGAGTTTGAAATACACTCACATTGGCTTGGTGGTGTTTGAAGGGCTATTGGAACTGACAAATTCACATACAAAGCTATTGTGCGGTAAGGGAGAGAGTTGTTTCTGAAATAGTCAAATTGGTTTAATGATGCAGGCCTAAACTGCCCAATTGACCATTAAGTCATAGCGACCGAATGTACATTTGAGATGGAGAGAGTGTGACAAAATGAGCGTATGAATGTGTAAGTGAGAAGAAGGAAGCGCGAGGGAGGAAGTTGGTGTGATTGAGTGAGAACAACTGTGTTCCAGGGAGAGAGAAAGAGAGAGAAATGGAGAGAGAGTGAGAGAGAGAAATGGAGAGAGAGAGAGAGAGAGAAGTAAATGTGTTCTAGTAAGAGAATCAGCATGCTCAAGGATGAGAGAGAGAGACTGAAAGTAAAGAGTGCAGAACTGAGATGTATTTGATGGAAGAGGAGCAGTTGTAACAATGCAGCCCATCCCAGCTCCAGAGGGGTTGTATTTGTCCAGCTGTGACCACTGTGTCTGTCCAGACTAACACAGGCCATGACAGAGTTACATCAGTTACACTCTCACAGCAGGCTGCAGCCCCCCTGTATGTCTCTGTGAGCCTGGGCCAGTGGTGGGGGAGGAAAAACACAAATACAGTCTTACCTTGACTCTACCGAACTCACAGGCCAGGTCTAGGGGGGTCTTCTTGGTTTTGTTGATCAGACAGGGGTTGGACTGGTGCTGCATCAGCATCTCAGACTGAGAGAGACACAGACAGACAAACAGACAGGGGATCAACACACACAAATATAAACACACACACACACACACACAGGCATATACACACTATACATGCAATCATACACACGGTGCTGCAGCAGCATCTTAGACTGAGAAAAACAGACAAACAGGGAATCAAACACACAAATATTAACATACACATACACATTCATGGAAACATGCCACCAGAGGCACGCATACTATGGCACGCACAGCACAGCACAGCACACACACCATTACACACATAACCAAGATCAAATACCGTATACACATACACACTGTCACCGGGGCCATCAGGGGTGTAGGCTATGTTATGTGGATGTGGTCATGCAGATAGTATTACAACACACATAGCTAGGGAGATGATGGCAGATGTTTCTATCAGCACCTGGTGCTGCCTGCCGTATCCAAGGACACATAGTATTTGGTGAAAACAGACAGTCATTCTGCTCTGGGAATACAGAGTAGACTAGAGGACCGGAGGCTGTTACAATCAAATGGGACTTTATGGTCTGTGGAGATAAAGGCTTTTCACACAAACTGTGGTCCTTAAAGGCCTACAAATCAATTCATGTTGCATAACAAAAACACATCATGACAACATGTTTGTAGGCTAGTTCCTGATCTATTTCCCAAGTGGTGTCTTATAGAGCTCTATACCTACACACACAGTCCTTTCATCATGTAGATGTATTGTTAGAGAGTGACAACATCCCCTTACATCACTCTACACATCTGGCCTGCTGGTAAGACAGGGGGGTAGTGCTGAGCAATTAACCAAACTTCAGTTCTTTTTCTGTTTTGAAACAACTAATTGACCAACATCGGTTCAATTATTTGAATTCCATTTCGTTCGTTTTTTTTCTTTGCGCTCAATGCGCAGTTTCTCTAGAGATAAATCAGATCAAGGCCGAACTGTGCGATGTAGTAGGGAGTTGTAGTTTCCAACAGGCCAATATTCTAAATAGTTTAGCGCAGAAAACCTGGTAATTAACTACAATGACCATAATCCATTGCATGCCTCCTTGTCCGGTCTGTGTGGTGCATACACAGAGAGGGAGAGAAGAGACAGAAGAACACGCGATTGAGAGGGATAGAGAGCAGTTGCGTGAGGTCTCTCTACCTGAAAATACATTATCTAAGTGATTGATAGTTGGTATTCAGCAGTCATAACAGTATGCCTTATTTACTTTGAAGAACTATTAAAATAGTGATTTTGTCAGACAGCATAGGCAGCAGTTCTATAGAGATGAGATGACTTGGAATGAAATAATAAAGTTATAAAATAAAACAAATGTAAATATACACATCTGAAATATTTTATTCAAGTAATGTGAATAAATGATGGTTAAAAGATGATAAGCAGTAATGGGCAGTCACTACCATCATGGGACTTTTATTAATTGTTTTATTCTGTGTTGTTACAGCGAAAACCATGACATTTTTTAAATAATCGAACCGAAACTGAACCGACCTCAAAAAGCACTTATCACTTATCGCTCAGCACTACAGGGGGTGAGGTGAGGGGGGGTGATGTTGGTAACAAAGACAAGGTCCCTAATCCCCCCTAAACCTGATCACCCCGGATCCCCCCCCCCCCCCCCCCATCATTACCCCCTCAATCCCTACAAATCCAATCCTCCTCATCCTGCCTCGTGCTTCTCTCTCCCTTTTATCCCTCTCCAATCCAATCACACCAACATCCCTCTCCTCTTCCTGCTTGCTCCGTACCCCCTCAATCCCTTAAATGCCTGTACCACCAAACACCACCCATCCTACTCTATCCCTGCCATGTCACATCTGTTTTGGGGCTATGGCTGTGATTTGCTGACAGTTTTGTTTACTGTTTAAGACTTAAGTGGACTGACCAAACATGACCACACACATCTAAATCTCAGATAAGTCACCCACAGTAACCCAGTGTCAGTGTAAGCCTTGTGGACAGACACACCATACATTAAACCCAATCCAGCGGAATGGGGATATTTGTTGACAGTGCATAACGATTGCTGTGTGTAGTGTCATGCCTGTTGTGTGTGTGTGTGTGTGTGTGTGTGTGTGTGTGTGTGTGTGTGTGTGTCTGTCTGTCTGTCTCAGTATGTGTGTGTTGTGTGTTGTGTGTTGTGTGTGTGTACTGACCACATCATAGTGTCCGTACTGTGCGGCCAGGTGCAGGGGGATGTGTCCATCCTGTGAGACCCCATTGACTCCAGCTCCGGCCCTCAGCAGCGTAAGAACAGAGTCAGCCTTACCCTGCCACGCTGCATAGTGGAGCGGACGCATACCTGCAGGAGGCAGCACACAGGACATCTCTGGTCATATACAGTACACATATAAACACACACAATAGAGACAGACAGACAGTGAGTGACAGACAGAAGTACCGGTAGATATTTTTGGGTTATCCATATGAAAGCTGATATTAAATCACAAGACAATGTGTGCCACAGATGGAACTAATAGAATGTACCAGCTGATATACAGTAGAATCACAAGACAATGTGTTCCACAGATAGAGTGGCTTGCAAAGGTATTCACCCCCCCTTGGCATTTTTCCTATTTTGTTGCCTACAACCTGGAATTAAAATGGATTTTTGGGGGGTTTGTATAATTTGATTTACATAACATGCCTACCAATTTGAAGATGCAAAACATATTTTTTTGTGAAACAAACAAGAAATAAGACAAAAAAAACAGAAAACTTGAGCGTGCATAACTATTCACCCCCCCAAAGTCAATACTTTGTAGAGCCACCTTTTGCAGCAATTACAGCTGCAAGTCTCTTGTGGTATGTCTCTATAAGCTTGGCACATCTAGCCACTGGGATTTTTGCCCATTCTTCAAGGCAAAACTGCTCCAGCTCCTTCAAGTTGGATGGGTTCCACTGGTGTACAGCAATCTTTAAGTCATACCACAGATTCTCAATTGGATTGAGGTCTGGGCTTTGACATTTAAATGTTTCCCCTTAAACCACTCAAGTGTTGCTTTAGCAGTATGCTTAGGGTCATTGTCCTGCTGGAAAGTGAACCTCCCTCCCAGTCTCAAATCTCTGGAAGACTGAAACAGGTTTCCCTCAAGAATTTCCCTGTATTTAGCGCCATCCATCATTCCTTCAATTCTGACCAGTTTCTCAGTCCCTGCTGATGAAAAACATCCCCACAGCATGATGCAGCCACCACCATGCTTCACTGTGGGGATGATGTTCTCGGGGTGATGAGAGGTGTTGGGTTTGCGCCAGACATAGCGTTTTCCTTGATGGCCAAAAAGCTCAATTTTAGTCTCATCTGACCAGAGTACCTTCTTCCATATGTTTGGGGAGTCTCCCACATGCCTTTTGGCGAACACCAAACGTGTTTGCTTCTTTTTTTCTTTAAGCAATGGCTTTTTTTCTGGCCACTCTTCTGTAAAGCCCAGCTCTGTGGAGTGTACGGCTAAAAGTGGTCCTACGGACAGATACTCCAATCTCCGCTGTGGAGCTTTGCAGCTCCTTCAGGGTTATCTTTGGTCTCTTTGTTGCCTCTCGGATTAATGCCCTCCTTGCCTGAGCCGTGAGTTTTGGTGGGCGGCCCTCTCTTGGCAGGTTTGTTGTGGTGCCATATTCTTTCAATTTTTTAATAATGGATTTAAATGGTGCTCCGTGGGATGTTCAAAGTTTCAGATATTTTTTTATAACCCAACCCTGATCGGTACTTCTCCACAACTTTGTCCCTGACCTATTTGGAGAGCTCCTTGGTCTTCATGGTGCCGCTTGCTTGGTGGTGCCCCTTGCTTAGTGGTGTTGCCGACTCTGGGGCCTTTCAGAACAGGTGTATATATACTGAGATCATGTGACAGATCATGTGACACTTAGATTGCACACAGGTGGACTTTATTTAACTAATTATGTGACTTCTGAAGGTAATTGGTTACACCAGATCTTATTAAGGGGCTTCATAGCAAAGGGGGTTTATACATATGCACGCACCACTTTTCCATTATTTTATTTTTTGAATCTTTTGAAACAATTATTTGTATTTTTTTATTTCACTTCACCAATTTGGACTAATGTCCATTACATGAAATCCAAATAAAAATCAATTTAAATTACAGGTTGTAATGCAAAAAAAACAGGAACAACGCCAAGGGGGCTGAATACTTTTGCAAGGCACTGTAGAACAATGTGTGAGTCACTAATAAAAACATCACAGATAATAATCATTAAAGGCGAGTCTGTTTGTACTGAGGCACATGTTGCTAACTGGTCTGAGATCTGGATGTACCAGCTAACATGGAATCTCAAGACAATGTGTGCCACTGATAGAAAACATCAGAGATAATATCTGTGCTGACTGAGATGATCTCACTGAGACCTGTGTTAGCTGTTTTGCTAGCTGATCTGAGAGCAGTGATAGTGCTCTGTCTCTCACGGAGGCCTGTGTTAGCTGTTTTGCTAGCTGATCTGAGAGCAGTGATAGTGCTATGTCTTTCACTGAGGCCTGTGGTTAGCTGTTTTGCTAGCTGATCTGAGAGCAGTGCTATGTCTTTCACTGAGGCCTGTGGTTAGCTGTTTTGCTAGCTGATCTGAGAGCAGGTGATAGATAGTGCTGTGTGTCTCACCGTTCCTGTCCTTGATGTCCACAGTGGCCTGAGCCTCCAACAGCACAGACAGCAGGTCTGTAGTTCCGGTCAGAGCAGCATGGTGGAGGGCTGAGAACCTGAGGACAACAACACACAGAAAGATGACAGAAGGATATAGTACAGAGGCTCAAAGACAATGGAGAAGAGGAGATGGGAAGGTGACGTTTGGAGAGATATAGTTCAGTACAGACATAGTATAGTTGAGTGAAAGACACAATGGAGAGGGCATTGGGATTGTTTGGCAATGGGGATGCTTAGAGGCCAATGGCATTGCTTGTGTCTTTCACCAGTAAACAACCCACCACCGACACCCACCCAGACAGACACAGAGAGAGAGAGACAGTACTCTTCCATCAGCCAATAACAGACCACAGCCCTGGGCTGTTAGTCACACACTCATCCTCTCACTGGTGAGGATTCAATTAAAAGTCTGCATGTGATCTGATCGTAAAGTGAATGGAAAACACATCTTCAATATGTAGAAAGAGGCCACAACATAAAGCAAAGCCAGGCCCAGCCAGAACCCTGCTCTGGGCTGTGGGCTGAGGGCTGTGTTATTGGGCAGGCCTGTACTGTAGTGTAGAAGCCAGCCAGCCAGTAGTCTAGGATTCACTAGACACCAGGAGACATGAATAACAGGAAAGATAATGGAGCTGGAGGCTTTGGCTCAATCAAGACCAGACTCCCTCTATCCTCATCCACACAGTCTCTCACCCTCCTCCCCTTCTCTCTCGGTGTTGTTCAGCTTTATCTGTTTTGGGGAGAAAGGGGGTAGAAAATAAAAGCCCCCAAACTGTGGGAGGGAGGATTTGCCATCCCCACATCATGTTTTATGAGTGCCATGATGTGTGTGTGTGTCGGGGCATGCCAACACACAGTGTGGCCTTCAGAGGTGACTCAGCTCAGAGGGGAAGAAGGACTCAACTCATTAGGCTGGTGAGTAACAGTCCTGCCTCCAGCACCACCGTCGAGTCCAAACACCACAGATATAAATCTCCCCTCTCACACAGACACACACACACACACGCAGGTCCAGGCCGTAGCCACAGCCTGCAGCCACCACCGTCCACATGGAAAGGAGAGAGGGAGGAAGCTGCCAGTCAGAACATAATATACTGTACATGTGGTTACAGCACCTAACCATAAATAACCAGACCAGAGACACGAGAGACGGTCTGTACTATAGAGATACGGTCTGTACTATAGAGAGACAGTCTGTACTATAGAGAGACGGTCTGTACTATAGAGAGACGGTCTGTACTAAAGAGAGACGGTCTGTACTATAGAGAGACGGTCTGTACTATAGAGAGACAGTCTGTACTATAGAGAGACGGTCTGTACTATAGAGAGGGTCTGTACTAGAGATACGGTCTGTACTATAGAGATACGGTCTGTACTATAGAGATACGGTCTGTACTATAGAGAGACGGTCTGTACTATAGAGATACAGTCTGTACTATAGAGAGACGGTCTGTACTATAGAGAGACGGTCTGTACTATAGAGAGACGGTCTGTACTATTGAGATACGGTCTGTACTATAGAGAGACGGTCTGTACTATAGAGAGACGGTCTGTACTATAGAGAGACGGTCTGTACTATAGAGAGACGGTCTGTACTATAGAGAGACAGTCTGTACTATAGAGACAGTCTGTACTATAGAGACGGTCTGTACTATAGAGAGACGGTCTGTACTATAGAGGAGCGGTCTGTACTATAGAGAGACGGTCTGTACTATCGAGAGACGGTCTGTACTATAGAGATACGTCCTGTACTATAGAGAGACGGTCTGTACTATAGAGAGACGGTCTGTTACTATAGAGAGAACGGTCTGTACTATAGAGAGACGGTCTGTACTATAGAGATACGGTCTGTACTATAGAGAGACGGTCTGTACTATAGAGAGACGGTCTGTACTATAGAGAGACGGTCTGTACTATAGAGAGACGGTCTGTACTATAGAGAGACGGTCTGTACTATAGAGAGACGGTCTGTCTATAGAGAGACGGTCTGTACAATAGAGAGACGGTCTGTACTATAGAGAGACGGTCTGTACTATAGAGAGACGGTCTGTACTATAGAGAGACGGTCTGTACTATAGAGAGACGGTCTGTACTATAGAGAGACGGTCTGTACTATAGAGAGACGGTCTGTACTATAGAGAGACGGTCTGTACTATAGAGAGACGGTCTGTACTATAGAGAGACGGTCTGTACTATAGAGAGACGGTCTGGTCGTACTATAGGAGACGGTCTGTACTATAGAGAGACGGTCTGTACTATAGAGAGACGGTCTGTACTATAGAGAGACGGTCTGTACTATAGAGAGACGGTCTGTACTATAGAGAGACGGTCTGTACTATAGAGAGACGGTCTGTACTATAGGAGACGGTCTGTACTATAGAGAGACGGTCTGTACTATAGAGAGACGGTCTGTACTATAGAGAGACGGTCTGTACTATAGAGAGACGGTCTGTACTATAGAGAGACGGTCTGTACTATAGAGAGACGGTCTGTACTATAGAGAGACGGTCTGTACTATAGAGAGACGGTCTGTACTATAGAGAGACGGTCTGTACTATAGAGAGACGGTCTGTACTATAGGAGAGACGGTCTGTACTATAGAGAGACGGTCTGTACTATAGAGAGACGGTCTGTACTATAGAGAGACGGTCTGTACTATAGAGAGACGGTCTGTACTATAGAGAGACGGTCTGTACTATAGAGAGACGGTCTGTACTATAGAGAGACGGTCTGTACTATAGAGAGACGGTTGTACTTAGGGGTCTGTACTATAGAGAGACGGTCTGTACTATAGAGAGACGGTCTGTACTATAGAGAGACGGTCTGTACTATAGAGAGACGGTCTGTACTATAGAGAGACGGTCTGTACTATAGAGAGACGGTCTGTACTATAGCTCTACAGGGTGTTTTGGAATAAGTAGTGCCTCAGTGGGCATGTAGCATTTCCTATCTCTCTACCAGAGGGAGTTGTGTACTATGAAGGGAGGCTGGGGGGTTCTGCTGTGTCTGGGTACAGTAACAGAGTAATGGCATATAATGAGGGAGAGAGGGAGGGGGGAAGGAGAGAGAGATAGAAGAGGTAGAGGATGAGAGAGTCTAATCCCTCTGTACAATCCAGCAGCCTGACTGAGAGGTGATAGAAAATAATCTGACATTAAAAATGTATGTGTGAGGAGCATCTGTGCAAACAGCCTAGTTATCAGGACTGTTTCTAAAATCTAAATAAACAATGTCTGTCTATTGGTGGATAGGAAACAAGTTCGCTCCAGTCCAAAGTCTATAGAGGGACCTCAGAGTAAAGACAAAGGCCTAATGTAAAGACTGAGGTATCTTAGACATATGACAACGTAAACAGAAAGGTATCAAGTTTGATAATGCGATACTAAATATGGCTAACCTGGAGGCTTCTTAATTAATTTAATAGAGTATCATAGACTGATCTTACCATTATGTCAGCATATTATAATGGAGTTACTGTAAGCTGCACTCTATGGCTTCCTTACACAAAGAGAGTCTGAAGAAAGAGCAGAAGTAGGGGAGACTAGACATACAGGGAATTAAATTGATATTTTGCATGAATAAAACCAGCTGCTGGGGCCCAGACTAGGGATGAGCACAAGTGTTGTCACGATACAAGAATTTTTACTTTGATACCGATACCAGGTTTAGTATCGCGATACTCGATACCAAGCCAAAAAAAGCAGGGAGAATGTGATTTTTCCCAGTTTGTTCAGGTTTATGCTCGCAAAAATTACGCTTTTTAAAAGACAGAAAAACAACTAAATTGTACAATGCTTAAACCACATCAGGGGATGACCTTTGAAGTCTAGGAAAAATCTAAGACATTTCCATTTTTTAGTGTAGATACCCTTTAATTCAAGTGCACACACTTAGCACTGTTGTTTGGTTAGTAGTGTTTCTGTAGCACATGTGTGATGGAGTTCGCAAAACAATTGGCCACTGAATTGATGCAAATAATAATGATTCTGCCAGGTAGGCACAGGCTACTTTGTAGTTAACTTTTTATTGAGAAGGTTTTTGGGAAAAGCTTTCCATCTAGCCGAAGACTGTTATCATTAACATCCATAATGGTTACACAAAGTGAGACATAAGCGCACCGCACACAGACAGGGGCATTCCTGTGTCGCTGCCTCTTCAGAAAATTGCAGGGAATACGAATCACTGATGCATTCTGTTCATTGGTAATGATAAACGAATTAATAAATGTTCTAATAAGTTCAATACATTTAGTTAATTTCCAAATGTGAGACACATTTGATGGAAATTTGAGTACCGAACCGTTTTTCATTTTGTAGTATCGAGTACAGAAGTGTCGGTGTACCGTGCACCGCGTCCCAAATCACTTGATTTCCTAAGAGCTTCTGCAAACACTTCACACCTCTGTGAGAGTCACACACCAAGCAGAGCGTACACACACACACCAAGCAGAGCGTACACACACACACCAAGCAGAGCGTACACACACACACCAAGCAGAGCGTACACACACACACTCTCTTTCATGAACCTTCAGTTGAGATCCCTCTAAACCTAGATGAAACCCCTTTGACGTTGGTCTCATTAGGCCTGCCTTAGGGCCACTTAACCCAGTGAATCCTGCCTCTATCCTCTGAGGTAAAGCTCTGTTCCCTACCCTAATGCAGCAGGGTCTATTTAGGGCCACGGGGTGGGGATGTATTAAGTCACTCAGGGGCCAGGGGCTTTACACAGGGCCCAGCCTTGAAACAGGGACGTCATAAGAGGGAGAGAGGGAGGTGAGAGGCCGGAGGTACACAATCCCTCCTCTGTCCTTCAATTCTCTTTCCTGTTCTCCCCCTGGCAGGACGTGAGAGTCCAGAAGAGAGAAAGGCCCTTGAAAAGGTTCTGTGTTCAAAGCACCCAGGTCTCTCCCTCCCTCTCTCCCTCCCTCTCTCTCTCTCTCTCTCTCTCTCTCTCCCTCCCTCCCTCCCTCTCTCCCTCCCTCTCCCTCCCTCCCTCTCTCCCTCTCTCCCTCCCTCCCTCTCCCTCCCTCCCTCTCCCTCCCTCCCTCCCTCC